AGACTAGAATAATTATTACCTATTTAATTCGCGTTTTTGACACCACTTGGGAGTCCAAATTTCGGGCACTAAAATTATTATTCCTTGGTCAATTTTTTATTTTTTCATGCTGATTTGAAGGCCTATAAAGCATTTGACTCAGTCAAAAAAGTTTCAGTTGTATATCTTTTACGGTTTTTGCGGAAAGTTGCGTTAAAGTTGATGCCGTGGTGTCAGTAAAATGGCACGGATAAATAAATATATATATCGTCTCGCTTTATATATAGTAAGATAGTGTGAACTCTGTGTAGGTATTTATGATATTTTCAAATAATTGATTGTTCTCACTTCCTACAAATGGATAATATTGCCCTCAAAATTTTGTAAAACCGACTTTTTATAAATTGAATATTGTGACTAATGCATTAATTCATCATTGTAGATTTTATTCTAGCAAGTATAAAGACAAAAAATGTTCGGAAAAACTCCTGGCTACGTCCCTGGCCACGTACCCAACATTTTCTTGCTGAGCCTACTGCCTACAACTGCTAAAGGCTATCTGCATATTATAGTATCATAATATACATCTGTATATATACTATAGTACTATATCAATATGCAGATAGTCTTTAACATATAGATTTGGGTAGCATCAATTGGGTCTCGTTGAAAACTACCTATTAAAGTATTTAGTGCACGGGTTTCCTCTTATCTTCCATTGACCTGTCGAACGACTTCTGATGAGTCTGAATACAATAGGAAATGGGGTATAAAGGCTGCGACGGTCGCGCCGAGGGGGTTTCTAGAACATAAAAAAGGTGTAAATTTCAGGAAAAATATTAATGCATCTAACAAATTTGAAAACAGTACTTCGGATTTGTATCTTCAACGCTTAACGGCCCTTTTATTAAATCACACAATTTAAAATGGCATGCACTGCATATTAATACTATCAATGTTTTGAGTTTACGTGAGCGATAAATTTCTCTCTTGCACACCAATTCATGCTTGATTATTGAGCATGAATTGGTGTGCATTTAGTATTTTCTGGTGTTGGGCCGTACTCCCTTGGGTTGTGGAGCTTAGTTCTGCTTCCTATATACTGATATAGGAATGTGTTCAGGACTCTGAAAGTGTCACACTCTTGTAGTAATGGTATAAAATGGTTAACTTTAGTCAAGGTCTCATGTCTCTACGACCTTCACTTTTGGCGCAGTGAATCCCGCGCTTCAGCGCAATGCGCAAACTCCTGCAGGAACTTCCCGACATTGTAGAGACCTAAGACCTCGACTAAAGTTAACCATTTTCTACTGTTTATATTAGAGGAGCACACATTTAGAACTCCTTCATGACTAAATTGACGATTTAGACAATTTTACCTGTATAATAAACGCTATAAAAATGGGCGTGGCCCATGGCGACCTTATCCGGAACACTAGAGTCAAACAAATTTTGTTGGTCGTTCCTGACCCTATAGAGCAACTAATAGTAATAAGATATGATTTCTAATTATTTGAACATCTTTTGGTAAAATGAACCACTCTAGTCTACAGGACCAACCTGCTCAACAACTCCTTTTTGAGTTTTTGGCAACCATCCCATGGCCAGCGTTATCGAGGACGACCACATAAGACCTTCCCGGACGTTCTACTTGAAGACACTGGAATGGAACCTGACCAGCTGCGTTTGCTCATGTGTGATAGAGATAAATGGAGAGAAGCGTTGACACGAAACTCGTTCCAGATTTCATCTGGATCGACCTAGGCAGGCATGCAGGCAGTAAAGTGTAAACTATGGCTCAGATCATATCTCAAATCGGAAATGTTACGTATACAAATTAGCAAGTAAAAGTTCAGATCATGTCTCTAATTGGAAATATGTCGTATTGAAATCAGATCACAATTTCGGACAGATGTCGTTTTTTTCTGGTACCCTGAGTCGGACAGATGTCGCTGTCGGACAGGAGTCGTGTTTTTTTTTGTTTTTTTTTGTTCAGGGAGCAGACTTGCCACATAGGTCCAGGAGTACCGAACGTTTAGGCAGGGTGCTAGGTTATGGAACACACTCAACTAGGTAGTAGGTAGTCTGAGAGTCCGAAAATCTCCAAAAGGAGATGTCATCAGAGTGTGATCCACTGCCTGACTAACCTGTGGGTAGAGTTCATTAGACTCTATAATGATGACAGGTAGTATCTTCTGTATGTTGCTGAGATCCAGTGTCCATGGTACCTATTTTTGAATTAGTTGGAAGAAGGATAATCGATAATATTGAAACCACTTTCTGCAAATTAAACTGATAAATGAAATAAAAATTTAAAAAACCAATAATAAATATAAGGATAAATACCTTGACTGAAATAGTGAATGTCTCTGAAGAAGGAGAGACGATAAAGCATGATACAACACGGTATGTTGAAATAAAGCCTGTCTCTGAAGAAGGAGAGACGATAAAGCATGATATGACACGGTATGTTGAAAGAAAGCCTGTGTCTGATGAAGGAGACACGATAAAGCATGATACGACACGGTATGTTGAAATAAAGCCTGTCTCTGAAGAAGGAGAGACGATAAAGCATGATACGACACGGTATATAGAAAGAAAGCCTGTCTCTGAAGAGGGAGAGACGATAAAGTATGATACGACACGGTATGTTTCGAAAGAAACCCTGTCTCAGTGTGCGAGACCAAGTGATAAACAAATACTTATAACAGTAACACAAATAAATGTGCAGTTCAAAAAACTGTGATGCTAACTGTAAGCGTAAAAAGTATGGGGAGAAGTAATGAAAATGGGAGTGATAAAGTCACATCCAAAGAGTTAGTGAAGAAGGTGTTTACAAACCTTGACCAGAAGTGTCTAATGAAGTAAGTCAGACAAGCAAACGCTTCCTTAAATGATGATTTAAGGAGTCGTGTTACTGGCAGCGACAAAATCACCTGTACTGAGGGCACCACTTGTGTGTAATTCGGTGAGTTTCCAGTACTTAACGCTTTAGCGGGTGATGCCCGTACATGGATAGTTGTTTGGAATATTAAAATATTGGCGATAGGTTGGGAAGCCAGCGCTAACGAACGCCCCAGCCTAATTCAAATACACGTAGCTCCAATATTCTGTAAGCTGCGTTCTATACGTGTAATCTTATAGAGTTTTTAAACGCCCGCGTAGATTTGCGTATAAATGTACCTCAACTTCACGCATATTTTACAAAATAAATCGTCTTCGTTGTATTGCTCGTGCAGATTTGCGGCTTTCAGATCATGAAAATAAACAAAATTCTGTGTCGCGTCCGAATTATTAAAACAAATGTCCTTTTTTATTCTTTCAGTTTCCCCCTTTAATACATTAAAAATGAAAATTTCAACAAACGTGAGTCATGAGTAATGTCTATAATTAAAGAATTAAGGACTCCAAGTTCCACAAAATGCCACGATATGATATTTCTCCTATTAAGTTTTGTTAATAATAATAATAATAAATTGAAATTTAATAACACCGCTTTTAAGATAAAACTTATACTCAGCAGTGATCGAACTAGTCATCCCAGAAAATATCATGAATAATGAGCTAAAAAGATAACTTATAAACTTATGCTTGAAAATATATTGTCAATACTAAAGCCAGAAAATGGTACTTAAATATATTATGCAAAGATCGAATACCAAATATGACCAAAATAGTTATCGATAAAGTTTTTCAAGTTCATCTTATTACAACATTATTTACAATGGTACAATAATAAACCTTAACCAGTATTGAATAATTAATAGGGCTCCTTATTGTTGGGCTCCTTATTGCACACTTCATGATGCCGCGTTATGGTGCCGTGTTATTGCACACTTCATGGTGCCGCGTTATGGTGCCGTGTTATTACACACTTCATGGTGCCGCGAACACACGAGTTTCAGATCGAGTACCGGATTGTGAGGTGGGAAAGAGTATTAAGTTGCAGCAACAGGACTGATTACACTGCCTTATCTCCTTTTAAACGGATCATTTAATTAGCCACCCTGATCTAATGGTAATCTTTTATTCTTTCATTTTGTATAATTTGATGTGGTTTGTTTGTATTGTTAACAGAGTGTATACTGCATATACTATATAAATATATGCAGTATATAATTTGGTGTGGTTTGTTTTATTAACAGAGAGTATACTGCATATACTATATAAATATATGCAGTATATAATTTGGTGTGTTTTGTTTTATTAACAAGGAGTATACTGCATATACTATATAAATATATGCAGTATATAATTTGGTGTGTTTTGTTTTATTAACAAGGAGTATACTGCATATACTATATAAATATATGCAGTATATAATTTGGTGTGTTTTGTTTTATTAACAAGGAGTATACTGCATATGCTATATAAATATATGCAGTAGACAATTAGGTGTGGTTTGTTTTATTAAAGTATTAACAAGGAGTATACTGCATATACTATATAAATATATGCAGTATACAATTAGGTGTGGTTTGTTTTATTAAAGTATTAACAAGGAGTATACTGCATATACTATATAAATATATGCAGTATACAATTAGGTGTGGTTTGTTTTATTAAAGTATTAACAAGGAGTATACTGCATATACTATATAAATATATGCAGTAGACAATTAGGTGTGGTTTGTTTTATTAAAGTATTAACAAGGAGTATACTGCATATGCTATATAAATATATGCAGTAGACAATTAGGTGTGGTTTGTTTTATTAAAGTATTAACAAGGAGTATACTGCATATACTATATAAATATATGCAGTATATAATTAGGTGTGGTTTGTTTTATTAACAAGGAGTATACTGCATATACTATATAAATATATGCAGTATATAATTTGGTGTGTTTTGTTTTATTAAGAGGGAGTATATTTCTCCTTCTTTGTCGTTTGTAGCTCTTTCTTCCAGTTCAACCCTTTAATAACGTTTTTTTACCACTTTCCTGTAAACTGTATTTATTTGAGATATACACACAAAGCGGGGTATGCCTAACAACACACCAACATATATAATAGGGCCAAGTGAAATGAAGCATCTTCTCTGGACATTAGCACTGCTGTGTGTACTGAGTGGAACTGCTGCAAGGAAAGGACCGCAGGGGCCTCGAGGAGACACAGGAGAACCTGGTGCTGACGGAGAACCAGGAGCAGACGGGAGCAAAGGTATTGTTATCTTATACACCTGTAGTAAGGGTTCTTTACCGATAATAATTGAAATGTGATATTTAGCATTAGATAACAGTAGATAGCGCTAAACAGTGGCGTAATGACAGTACCTGGGGGGGGGGCATTTTCCCGAATTCTTAAATTTGATTCTTTTTGTTTTTTAAAACGTCCGAGATGTGTAATATCCAAAACACATCTACAGTAACAAAACAACATGTAACAAGGTCACACTAGGTTATCCCGGTTATTGCGACAATGAAGTGAAGTGTGAAGATTCTGAAGGACCACAAGGAGATGACGGGATGGACGGAGAGGACGGACCACGAGGAGAAGATGGAGCCAAGGGAGAGCAAGGTGCACCGGGGGAACCAGGGGTGGAAGGGAGTAATGGATCCCCGGGGCGACCTGGGGTAAAGGGAGTGAAAGGTGAAAGTGGACGAATAGGTCAGTTTATAATTATATTACAGTTTAATTTACTTAACGTTTAGTTATTTTAGTTAGTTACTTATACTTTACCATCCTGTTGTTATTCTTTTTAGAAAATCATGTATCTTGCTACAAAGTCTATTATTATTTGCTATACAACTATACAAAATAACCAAATACCACGTTATTGTTGTGCCACGTTATTTGTGTGCCACGTTATTGGTGTGCCACGTTATTGGTAATGTAACTAAATATATTCTATTAAACCCTGCACCCACCAGCCAGGGACGGTGAAAACGGTATTGACGCGGCACCGTGCTCTAAAAAGGAATGTTTAGGAGGGAAGTTGGAAGGGAACTGTCAGGTAGTGGGCACTCTGAAGAACGATCAACAGGACGGATATTGGAAGTGTCCCTCTGATATGGTCATCACCGGCTTTGAGAAAACGGGACCTGGGGAAAAAGACTTTGTGGTTAAATGCTGCCAAATTTAACGTGTTGGTTACAAATGTGAAATGTTACACGTTGCATTTGCAACAGTTTACAATTATACATGTAATGTTGGTAACTGCCTAGTTGACATTTTGAGCGCATAATAGAAAAGTTAATTACACTAAAACATTAAAACATTTTATATTCAAACGACGTAATTTCAAATTTTAAAAAATTGCTGGAACATGGAAAATTCATTATTTTCATTTTATTGTCAAATAACGCTTAGTGCAGTGGTTATAAATTATTCTTTTTCTCGTCATATATCAATATGTAATATTGTTAATCGTATTTTGCAATTCTGCAATTGACCATTGTTAATGGTCTGGCCCGGCGCGCGCTACTTCGTAGCACTTGCCGTCGCGCTACTTCGAAGAAATTTAGACGAGTAACATCCGTCAATTCTGCAATAGCATATTTATTATTTTCATTACTTTTTGTTTCAATAATTAATATTAAACAAAATGACAATTCTGATCAAATAATTGGATTTACAATATAATTATAAATTATCAATTACCAAACTTGCATTGTCAATTGTGCAAAGATATTTAACCAAGCTAAAGTTTTTCGATGCATGTCGTTCATCCAGGAAACTAAACCGGTTGCGGTTAAGGTCTAATCCATCTCGAAAAATATAGAATAAAATAAATTTACGCGTCGACATCTGACTCTTTCTGCGATCGTCTTCCCCATATTGCATATATCGTCTCCGAATCTCACAGAGTCCTTGTAATTGTCATACGTTGTATGACCCACCGGGCACGAGTGCGCGGCTCCCCCTGTATCGTAGAAACTCTACTCTCACCATATAATAGTGAAACGACCGTGTAGTGGGGGTCACAACGTGATACAAATAGCAACAACATTATTTTGCAAAGTTAAAAAGCTGCGATCTTTAATTTGGCTCAAAATCATACTTTTCAGGATAATTCTTACCTGGGGACCTCAGGCTATTATGTTCATAAACATAGAGATTCGGCGGAATGAAAGGCTGAGCGCGGCCCAGTAAGTGGTAAGATAATTCAAAATCTACGTTGTCCCAAATTGTGCTCTTGGGGAGCTAACTTTAGTTTTTTTACGAGACGAACATTTTGTTGAAAACCAAAACTTTCTATCTCTTTTACTTCCGAAGTTAGGCCCCTAACGAAAAGGTTTCCTGGGCTGATATCGATTGATATTTGTAAAAAAACGTTGTATAGGTTTATAACCTACCAAAACGCGCGCCGAGTTCAGAGTTGGACTCGCGCTATGTGTGAGCCTAGCAACATTAATTATGCTGGCTGGCCTTGTATCAAGTCGTGACCCCCACGGCCGTCGTTTCAATATGGTTTCTACGATACAGGGGAGCCGCGCACTTGTGCGCGGCGGGTCGTACGACGTATGACAAGGCTGGCCGTGTTAAGCTAGAGGTGATCATCATTTTTCAATAGCACGTTTGTCAGCGCGCGTGACGTAAAGTTTGCTGATCGCACGCGTATTACAATCTGAATGATATGAAGTCATGGCAACCACATTGATTTTTGTATCACGTCGTGCATGACCTTCACCTAACCATATGCTTATTGCTTTTGCGCCACTGCGGGTGCGCTTGTTTCACAAGTCAAGAAACGCCGTGAGGCGGGCGCGCGATATATCATATATACTGCATGAAGCGCAAGGGCTCTGGATAGAGCAGGTCATGACCCCCACGGTCGTTTCACTATGTAGCGTTTCTACGATACAGGGGGAGCCGCGCACTCGTGCGCGGCGGGTCATACAACGTATGACAAATTAATTTGCAAAGTTAAAAAGCTGCGATATTTTAATATTTGGCCCAAAATCATACATTTCAGGATAACTCAAAATCTACGTTGTCTTAAATTTTCTTCCTGGGGAGGTAACCTTTGTTTTACAAAACGAACATTTCGTTGAAAATCATGACAGTACACACATGCAACGTTTCTATTTCTTTTATTTTTGAAGTTTCTAGTTTATTTTTGAAGTTATGTAAGGTTTTTTGGGTTAAACACTTGCGACCATTTGGCATTTAATGTTTGATAAATATTATGAAATATAATTCGATTTTTTCCTAGCTTGATTTTTGCTTACTTCTTTGTTTTTTCCTGGCGCGCCTAAGTAAAGTTATATAAGAAGCTCGAAAAGAGCGCGATCGCCGCGCATAAAGATAGGCGCATTGGTTATTATATTCGTTCGGTTTTTATAGTAAAACAAAATTTAGTACGGGTATATGCCTCACAGAATGGCAAAAAAGGAAGGTCTCTCAAAATCACAAAACACACTTTATTCCAGTTTTTATCTCATAAGAAGCTAAGTTGCATTGACACTCATATGTCATATTTTTCTTCCCGGGGGTTGATTTAATCTCATAACTATTTTTTCTTTGAGAAAAATTGGCCGGAAAATCTTCCTCCAAAAAAACATGCCTCACAGAGAATTAATGGCCAAATCTGAATTTCTATAATTTTTTGATGGAGATACTTTTTAAATTTCTATCACCACACGTTGTTAGAAAACCTATTAAGGAATGGGGTAATAACCTAAAACTCACGAAAAAACTGAGCTGTGAAAAATTATTTCACAAAAAAATGCCTCACAAAATGGCAAAAAAAAAAGAAAACGAGAAAATTTTATTTTCCTAAAACCTTTGGCTCTTGTTTCAGGTATGCTGCTGGTATAAATATGCCTTGTTAACACCCCCATATAGGTGAAATTTCTTAGAACTGGAAAAGGGCATAATTTCCTACACCAAAAATGGCCATTTTGTGAGGCGTTGTTCATATTCCCTGATTTCATGATTTATAACCTTCATTCGGCTGTAAAAACACTCCATCTGGGGTGTTATTGTATGATAAATAGCTTGTGAATACTTTAGACCATCAAAACTAACATGTCTACATCAATAAAAGGAGTTTTAAATTTTGGCCATTTTGTGAGGCATATTTTTGCCATTTTGTGAGGCATGTAGCCATTTTAGCATTTTTTTCTTCCTATATTGAACAATGTTCGTTTTGTTTGATGAATACTATTCTTTAAACATCTTCTGTCATACTGGTGCCAGTAGTTCTCACCAAAATGCAAACTTAGTTCAAAAATTTGAAAACAAATTTTCAGTGCTCAAAATTTCTGCATAAACAGTCATATTTATGCCAGAAAATGTGGTCCTAGTTAATGATTTCACCACAGAAAGTGTTGCCAGAAGACTTTTGTTTCATATGGTATCCACAAAACCTACCAGTCTTATATACAAAATAAGTTACAAAAACATTTACAAATTTGGCCATTCTGTGAGGCTAGCCATTCTGTGAGGCATATACCCGTAAAACAAAATTTAAATTTTATTGCCATATTACAATGAATAATAATATCATAATAAACATAGTTAAACTTAAACATCCGATAATAAACTCATGAACATGAATATTGGATATGCTAACGAAATGTAAAATAAGCTTTTTTACTATATAGTAGTGAACTACTCGAAGATTCGTCTCAATCATACATTTTTATCAGCGCAATTCAAAATTTAAATAAAAATACTGAAGCACTAATTCTAGTTATACTGTACTGCAGAAAATGAAAAAGAAAGATCGATTTAATTTATAATTATAACACCAACCAAATATATTTTAACATTTAAGATTAATTTAAATTTGACATCACCTTAACGGGTGATACTCGTAAAATATTTGTTCCATATATTAGGACCATATATCAGGACCGTCGACGAGTCCAACTCGGCGCACGTCCTGGTAGGTTATAAACCTACAACCCTTGCGCTTGCAGTGGCACGCGCCCGCCTCCCGGCTTGTGAAACAACAAACAAGCGCGCCCGCAGTGGCGCGAAAGCACATGGTTAGGTGAAAAAAATTTACATACGCAAAAAAGCACACTATTTTTAGTTGCAATTGACTATAATACTATATCAACCTTAATTCAAGCTTGCATGCTTTGCATGGCAACGATATCTTAAACATTTAAGAACAAGCATGGTCATGATTATGCACGTGATAAATATTGACGAATGTTGAAAATTAGAAAGGCTAAAAATCTAAGTCTGCTCTCAATAACCCATGGATAACAGATGGTATTGCAGATAAAGTAAAATAAAATGTATGACATAACATCATCACACATGTCATCACACATGTCTACAAAATATATCGCACTATGTGAAAAAATATATAATAAATATTCCCCCAACAATATTGATATAAATATTTGTCAATACAATATTTTTAAAAGATGTATTTTAAAAAAGCATATTATATATCAACACAGCCAAGAACTCGATCATTTGCAATAATATAACTGAAAATAAAAAAACGGTTTTAAAAACATCACAATTAATCAATGGGCTTAGAAGTAACAGCGATTGATATCAAAATGTCAATTGTACGGTGGCCTATTTTTAAGGGCAAATAGTGTTCAGAGAATTGGTGCAAAAATGATTGATATTTGTGCCCCATAATTTCGATGACATATCGAATTTTTTTATTGAGCTAAAAGAATATTTTAAGAACTTTTGCTGGCTATAATTTTAACCGGATGCATCCTATAATTATTTGAGCTATTATTGTTAAAACTAACTGGGGGATCATCAGATCACATAATGTAATCCAGGAAGGGACCATTAACTCTGAAAGAAGTACACATATACACATGGGTAGATAAATACGTCTTAATAGTGATATCTTGATTTAGTTGTTATGAAGTTATGAGTTCACATTATATCCCCTAGAGCTCAATGAAACAAGAATTTTTTTTCAATAAAACAGGAGATTTCATTTTGGGAAAATTTTACAAAATAACAAGGTGTAAAAGAATTAATAAAAATATAATGCCCATTTGGTGTATGACTTTTTTCCTTGACTGCTAGTTTGAAAGGACAGGTAACTACGGGGCAAGGAATGTGCAAGCCTGAAAGCTATTGCACATAATTTTAATAACTGATACACATTTTGTTTTTAGGATGGTGTCCACACTCGAGAATAATGTTAAATTTGACACACAAAAGAGTGTGGTTAAGGAGTTGATGGAACAGTGGACTAATAGTTGTGTTAGTTATTTAGATTAACTTATAGTTGTGTTAGTTATTTAAATCAACTTATAGTTGTGTTAGTTATTTAAATCAACTAATAGTTATTTAAAAGGAGGGAATTATTTACAACATATAAGTGATACGAAAAGTTTATTTAAACAGGAGCTTTCAAAATACAAGTGTAAATCGTCTTCAGCTTCCTATTACAAGAACCAATCCCGTATATATTTGACACCCCAAGTCCCTGGCACTTTATAGAAAATTCCACTTCAACATTTATTATTTCAGAGAAAGGTTTTCCTGGAAAAACTACTGTCAAAATGTGGTGGAAGTCAGCTTGAGTTTCTATTTAGTGTAAGTAAAATATGGTGGAAGTCAGCTTGAGTTTCTACTTGTGTAAGTATGATGCTATAAAGCAAAATAATCAAAATGTATGTATTATTTGTGAGTGCACTAAATTCTACAAAGTGATATTCATTATATCATTTAAGTTCCACCATGTCAACTGAATTAGGACAAATGAATTTCTGTTTGATTTACTTAGGGAGGACAGGCTTCCTAAAGGAAGAGTTAAAGTTTATAATATCATTAATTCATGGAAAAAAACACAAATGTTACTTTTGACTCTACCATTCACTTACCTGTAAGTAAAAAATTGCTGTATAACTTTCACTTTCACTTTCACTTTCACTTTCACTTTCACTTTCACTTTCACTTTCACTTTCACTTTCACTTTCACTTTCACTTTCACTTTCATGTTACGTGACTCCACTATTCAGTGCCCTGCAGGTGACGGAGCCGTTGCACCACAGAGGCTTTATTTACTCAGCACAACACCACCTCAAAGAGTGTCCGCCAATTTCCACTCCTTCTAGTAGACATGAAGCTCTACTGTTCGCTCTAGAGAATGTGAGCACTCTTAACTAATTAGTTAATTAGTTCTACTAATTAGTACTGTATGTTATTTATTTACTGGTCATAGACACTTAGACAGTGGCGTAACGAAGGGCATGCTGACCCCGCTGTGCAGGGGGGGGGGGGGGGCATCTCAGGGGGGGGGGGGGCGCCAAATCGTCGTTTGAATATAGAACAACTTTGAAAAACTTAACTACAGTACTAGCAAAACTGCGTGGTTTGCTCTAGAAACACGTTTTTAGAGATTTTGCCGGCGTATCCTCTAAAATCACCTAATTTGTTTAATTTTAGGGAGGGGCGCTAAAGGAGGAGGGGGCGCTTTTTCGGCGGTGGCGCCAAGATACAACGTTACGCCACTGGTCATAGATACTTTACTGATAAAAATTATTACGTTACGCAGTTGTCGGTAGCGGTATATTATATTGATATACTCTTATAGGTGTCTGAAAAGTTTTACAGACCAAAGAGTGCTGTTTTAAAATCACAGGTGAGCATTTCATGATATTTAAATATTCTTTTATCAAGTTAAACTAACTAGGTTAATTTACACTTTACCTTTTATTAGTGGACGAGCCATAGTTTTATATTAAGTACGCTTGTGTGTGATAACTGCTTATATAGGTAGCACAGCAGTTTAAAGCTGTATTAAATAGATGTTTAATAAATTTATGACAGTTAAATTACTTAAGTTAAGTTGCTCAAGTTTTAATCAGCTTTAATTGATAGATAATCTGCACCAGCCACCATAAATCAGAATTCTTGCAAAGACTCTAAAACATGCACTACTATAATAGTAGCATTATTATATTATTATATCATAACTCTATTATTATTTTATTATTAAGCCAGTGAGTTCTGCGTTCTGCAGAATAGTACTATTGCATTGGTCAGAAGAGCTCTGATATGCTTGTTAAAGTAGTGTGCATTGCTTCTCTTCTCAGCATGCATGTAATCAAAAATTCTTCACAAGCTGCTGCGAATTCTTAACATAGCTTAACATAGCAGAGCCCTGTGGAGGATATTCTTAAACCAGTGCCAAGTCATTAAGTAGGGGTGAGAGAGAGAGAGAGAGAGAGAGAGAGAGAGAGAGAGAGAGAGAGAGAGAGAGAGAGAGAGAGAGAGAGAGAGAGAGAGAGAGAGAGAGAGAGAGAGAGAGAGAGAGAGAGAGAGAGAGAGAGAGAGAGAGAGTTAAACACGATTAAAGCCGTGTATCCTATTATAAAGGAGTCGTAGTGTTAACACACTTTAACTGGCTGGTGTCCGCCTCCCACGTGGTTTGTCACGTGGTCGACTCCCACAGCTGGGGTTCCATTCCCAGAGATGAAAGTATATGCTGTAAAAGTTATTTAAGGTTATTAAAGTTTATTAAACAAGATGTCGGCACAATGGGCGACCAAATATTATTATTAGGAACGGTTGTGAAAAGGATTAAGGATGTAGCCTGCGGAATTCATCTTGATATCATTATGACTAATTAATTTTGCTAATACGCCATGATTTAGATATTGATACATTTTAAAATTATAACAAATTTAATGATTGCATGAGAATCTTGTTGAATTATTAATTATTATTAAACAAGTTTGTGGATGTTTGCTTCACTCAGGATGATATTGATAAGTTGATCAAAGAGAATTCGTCAGTTTATAGCGTTCTGTAAGTTAAATGTGTCGTGTTATAGTTAGATAACTAACAACTAGTTAATTAGTTAACAACTATATTAATTAGTACCGTGTTATGTGTTCTTATTATTTGTTTTCACATTCGGCAAAGCATGGGTTACCATAAATGTTAAGTGATAGGTGGCCATCTTGATCTTTATCTAAATGAATAATTTAATCAATATTTCACATTCCAGTAGAGCACTATGCTCTTATAAGCAACGCATAGGTTTTACCCCGCAAGTCAGTCTATGCCAAATACAGCGTTCATAATTTCACCCTGGAAATTGAGTGATAAATTAAGATAGCATTATATTCCTTTATAATTATACTCCTCTTAATATAACTAATTAGATAATTATATAATTGACTAGTTAGATAATTGACCAATCACTGGATAGCTTATTACTGAGTTATTGATGCATGTGCTGTCAACATATTGTTATAAATAACTGTGATTTTAATATGATTCTCTATTTCTGCATGACACTTGAAATGGTCGCACATTTTATATGTATTTTACGTGTAATTCTATTGTCACAAGCAAAATGCCTGCATCAAAATGTTTGAATGATCAAATTATTGTAGTGTTGTAATTATAGACAACTGGTGATGTGTTCAGCCACGTGATAGAAACTAGAAACAGCCAGCTTGAACCAAGGATTTCGTGTGTATTTAAACAAATTTGTCTGTATAGTTTCCAAGTCCACGAGGCTACATTTTGAGGGTTATAATGGTAAAAATAACCAACTAATTTCAATTAATTGGTTTAGAAAATCTTCTTTTGTTTATTAGCATAATAACCATAACTTACTTTGTTGGTAGCCAAATAACTTACAATACAATTTCTCAGGAGCGGAGGTTTATTCAAAACTAATAAAAGTAAAAAAACTGTCTCGTCCAAGTAAGCTTTACTTTGATATATTGATATAACCTAATCAGTAAACAGTTTGTTTTCCTTACTTTCCTTATTCTAGTCTAATTGTGTTGATTTTCCAGGTAATTTGTTAATTTGCTGTAAAATATGTTAAACCTAAAGGCAATAAAGTAATTGATTGATATGTGCTCCTAAGTGTGTTCTCAAATAACATGTTCCTCTCCCAACAAATTACCCCCATCTACTTGTGAAGCACTCTTTATCAATGTTACCGGTTACCATGGTTACCATGGCAATATATTATCTTACAGTCCTCTCTAATACGACTTGCAAACTTTCTTATTTCTCACAATGATAAACACTCTCCTTAATACTCTACTCCAATATTTCCAATTGTAAGCGAGGTATATTTGGTATATTTGGGCCGCGTGTAACCCAACTTTTATTCGGGCTGCTTTGTTAACTGATATTCTAATCACTTATAATGCCATAAAGTATAATCTGTAATTGTAATCTGTGTTCAGGAAATTGCAGAAGGAGTTATCCAGCGTACTGACATGGTACGAGAGTCAGTGGAGTGGTACGCTACTTATTTTATTTAGATTTACTTATCAACAAATAGAATTGCTATCAACCTTCATCGATCGATTTTATTTGTGATTTATGTTGCTGTGCAGACAATTGGAGTTAAATATTTTTACTAAATATAAAATATAAGCCTTGTACTACTTATATTATGTACTCTTATATTTCTCATTTTATTAGTTAATAAATGTACCCAATTCTCTAAGTATAACTGGAAATTTTCATAACATTTTGGGACAGATCAGAAATGCGGAAATCATAATATCCGTTTTGTGGAATCATTTGATAATCCGACGATACGGACTCCGATTTTTGACGAACGCTTAAGAGTTATAGAAACAATCATATCGTAGGCATAATAATACGCCGCGCAACGTGCGCGTCGTTTGCTCGCCGCAGGAAACACATTTTCGCCGCTAATACAGTAAAAAAAAGAAGAAAAAAAGAACTTTATTAACCTAACCAAATTCCACTCTTCAGACTCTGAGAAATTAGACATACTTTATGTGATATTATGCGGTCTCTCTGTCACGAATTGTACCATGCTACTCTTATTCTCAACGTTAGTTGTTATCATTTTATCAAATGTAGGGGCTGGTAGTCTATTAGGTTTTTAGGTTGGGGGGGGGGGGGGGGGGCGGGGGGGGGGGAGATAGAACTACTGCTCTGTGTTGAGGCTTTTTTCTTTTTAAGTGATCATTTTATTCTTTATTTATCGATATATATTATTACATCATATCACTATCTATGTCCACTCTCTAGAGTAGCATTCTTTCTGTTACAGGTAAGAAGATACTTTACTTTACTTTCTATTACAGTTAAGAAGATACCGAGATTTTGTAACGAAGCTGCCGCTGGATCTGAGTCTCACTATTCTCTCTTATCTTACTCCTAAAGACATTGTAAACGCTAGCGAGGTTATTTCTTATTAAGTTATTACTTATTAAATTATTACTTGTTAAGTTATTAGCTGTTAGGTTATTACTTGTTAAGTTATTAGCTGTTTTTTCTAATTCTACCAATAGAAGAAGTGGCTTACCTTAAACTTTCTGTGAGGTTTTGTGAGTTTAATTTCAAATAATGTATTTCAAGTAAACTTCATTATTTACAATAATTCTCTTGATCATAGGTGTGTAAGGACTGGCACGAGATCTGCACTTCAAATCTGACGTGGAATATTAAGTGTGCACAACACGCTGTCCCTCCCCATAACCCTGGTTAGTGGCAAATAATTAATTAACTGTTATAGTTGATTATTTAATTAAATTATTACTTATTTTAGGTAAGTAATAATAGATTATTAATATGGTTCTTATTCAGTTTATTAGTTGAGACACCTTTCAAAAAAGGTTATAGCTATACCGCGAAACCTTACCTGTATGATAATAAGAAAATCAAGCGTATCTCCATCTGTGTGCTTAAGTGAAAGTGAAATTGAAAGTGAAAGTGAAAGTGAAAGTGAAACTAACAGTAAGTTTACTAACTGTGGAGACTGGGGAGCCTCAGTACTTTTCCCAGGGCTATATCTCCAGTTGTGTGCACTGTGCCCGCAAGTAAGTTTTCAAAATTCCCTGCCTCTTCTTATAATAAGACAATTAAACGGCCATCTCCGACTGTGTGTTTAAGTGAAAGTGAAAGTGAAAGTTTTCTAACTAGAAGGAGCCTCTGTTCTGGTCTCTGTCCTGATAATAAGACAATCAGGACTATCTCAAACTGTGGAGGTGGTACAGCAATGCTAAAGTTCTAAAGATAGTCGGGGAGTTTGAATCCAAGTTGGTGATATATCGCATGGCTTAACTTCTGATATAGTTATACGACATGTGTACAATATCTCAACGACAGATATCTCAACAACAACCTACAGAATTACAAAGATGTAGTGGTCATTACGCAGACGTTTCCTCCATACTAAGCATGCTCTGGAAAGTGCATATGTTAGGAATGTAAAATGTAAATCATACCAGAACCAGAAAAAAGTTTCATCTGTAACCTTATCACTTGATTAATAACATTTTTAAACTCCGGAAAATATGTTCGTGAAACCATTATATCCCTGCATGAGCCTTTAACAAAAATGTTTAAGAATGAACTTTTTTAGATGCAGAAATTATTGAGATTTATCGTGTTGCCGAGGAGTTTATTTCTGCACTTTTACTTTGATTTCTGTTTTGATATATTATCCTTTTTCTATAGCTCTGTTCATTTAGATGCATTGATGTATACAAATATTTTACCGATGAAGATAGTTTATTAGAATGATTTTGAGTCTCATTGATAATATCTGACTGCGTTGAATTTATAATTGTGATGGTAAAAGGTGCCGAATAAATGGCGTTATAAGGTGCCGAATAAATTTCCACTTTACAGAGGGTTTGGGGCAGCAGGAGCTGTTTAAAAACAACGTACTATTGAAAGAGAACTGGAGGAATGGCCGGTGTAGAGTTAACTGTTTCTCCGGATCACAACACAAGGTACACCACTTTCACTTTCACTTTCACTTTCTCTTTCACTTTCATTTTAGATCCACCACTCAGTAGTCAGTACTCAGTAGACGTCAGTAGTGGAATTCAGAGTTTAGTACAAGAACTTAATACTTAGATTCAGAGGGAGATTTTTGGAGAAAATATCAGAACTTACTCTTACTGACAAGATTATTACCGTGGTTACCATGGTTAATATTGTTTTATTTTTATACCGTTTTATAATTTATATAGAAAAACCGAATCAGGATAAGGGGTCGTTCACATATTACGTAATCATTTTTTGGAACATTTTAACCCCCCCCCCCCCCCCCCCCCTCAGCTGATTACGTAATATGTGAACGACCCCTAAGATAAATATTTTTGATTATTTAACATTACATGATAAAAGCATCAGTTTTCTGTAAGTTGACGTTTCTATTTCAGATGGTTAGTGTAGCATACGATATGAAAACAGGTAAAATAGCAACTGGAATGATAAACGGAGAGATAAAGATTTGGAACCTTGCCAAGTCAGGAGGAGCTCTCATCGCAACCCTCGTGTCTCACTCAGTCAGTGTATAACTTTATATCACGTGACACAAACTAGCCAATAAGAGCCATGACTAGCCAATTATCGCAACCCTCGTGTCTCACTCAGTCAGTGTATAACTTTATATCAGCACTTTTTTTAATAGGTCCAATAGTTTCAATTCCTTGGACAATCTGGTGGACAGCCAATATCAAGATTAGAATATGAAGATTGGAATTACGTAATATTCACAATTATTGTAGATTAAAAGAACTAAATATTGATATTATCGTCCCAAATATAACCACCCTGCAGAAGAGTGTGTGGGGAGTGGAGTGGTTTAAAGGGAACTGTCTTATCTCCTGCAGTTCGGACGGGACTATAAAGATATGGAACGTCAAGAAGGGTCAGTGCACGTGATCTAGTTATGCGATTATATTAATTATGCGATTATATGAACGGATAAATAACTTTAAGGAAGTTTATTTAAGCAAGATCGGTTAAGTTTAGTAGAGTTATATTTGTGGTAAATAACTTGATAGTTTTAAACCGTTTGATAGCCGTAAGGAGGACTATCTGGGTTTTGAAATTGATAACTTGTGTCACCTCCCCACCATTACCCACATTACCCAGTACCCACGTTACTCACATTACCCACCGTTACTCACATTACCCACCGTTACTCACATTACCCACATTACCCACGTTACCCACCGTTACCCTCGTGTTTTATGGGCAGGACTGTGTCAGAAGAGTATTGAAGCTCACGAGGGGAAGATATGGGCTATAAAGTGTGACAGTGACGTCATCTTCAGTGGTAGTGATGATAAACTGGTTAGTAAGTAGGGGGGGGGGGGGTGGGACTGGGGGGGGGGGGGGGGCGGGGGGACTGGATAATAACTAGTTGATTGAATATTTTTCTAAACTATTTTATTTAAGAGATATCGAGTAGTCACTTAGTCAGGCAACCTCAATCTGATCTCTTGGTTCAATCATATATGCGGATATTTTGGTCTTGCCAGTGACTGACATCTACTTAAACTTTACTATTCTCTACAACCCAGATAAAATGCTGGGATATAAAGAGATGTGAGGTAGTGCAGACCTACCTCGGCCACAACGGTTCCGTCTTCTGTTTGGACCTGAACGGCTCAGATCAGCTCCTGTCAGGCTCTGCAGACAAGGTACAATTCTAGCCAATCACAGCATAGCATTTACATCACGTTACACAAACTAGCCAATAAGAGCACAGCATTCACACAACAATTCTAGTGGTAAGGTATACAATAAATAAGTTTTATCTTTGAATGTATTCCTCCATCGATCAGTACCAAAATCAGTATAATAACACAATTAGCTTCTTTCTCAGACAGTCCGTGTATGGAACAGGGTATCTGGAGAATGCTTGCGGAGTATCTGGGTAACACATACCAACCCAGGCTGGGTTATGGGGATGTCTGTGTCTCAGGTGCTACTAATTAACTAATTAACTAATTAACTAATTAACTAAAATTATCTGTGTCTCAGGTGAGGATCTCCGGTAATCTGGTCATAGAATTCTGGGTCTATAAATCTAAAACAGCTTCAATTAAAAGCAAGAGTTTCTACTAGACGTTACATTTTATGATTCCTACACCCTTGTAATTAAATAGTTTGTGAAGGAGTAACATTACTGTAATTAATTTCAGGGTCACGTGGCTTGTTGTCATAACGACAAAGTTACAATATATCACATCAATACTGGGGTACTCGTCAAAACCGTCCAGTCACATTCAGACACGTGAGTAGCCAATCAGAGCACAGTATTCGCACCGTACATGACACAAACTAAGAAACTATATTTCTAATTTACTTTAAAACAACAGTCGCTTTTGCACGGTTTGCTCTAGTACTAGCTGTATACGTCCAAAATTCGCATTGAAAGTTAATGCATTTTAAATCATTTTCACTGCAATAATTAATAATTTATATAATTAATGTGTTGATCACTTTTTTAATTAGTTCTCCTCCCTGAAGGATAGAGTCGGTGCAGATGGACATGGGGAATGGTTCCCACAACTTACACACCGGCACTACTCTCGTCACCTCCTCAAAAGATAAGACTATTCACTACTGGGAACTGGACAGGTTCGTTTGCTTTGTTTAATCAACTAATTAACCAGTGAATTAAGTTGAATGTTAATTGAAATTAAAAAACTGGGGGGGGGGGGGGGGGGGGGGGGCCAACCATATTAAAGTATATTAAAATGTAGGATTTTTCCCGATTTTGACCCGGGGATATACTTTAATATACTTTAATATGCTTTAATATACTTTAATATATCCCTATCTCCTTGGAGGCCTACATCAAAAATTGTTGGCCAAAATAAGCTTGAAATGCAATTCTTAATCGATTCCAAAAAGTTCTTGAAAAAATATTGAAAACTGATGGAGTTATTTTACCAAAACCCATAATCATGGGTAGAGTGGACCGCTGCCAGTGTCACTGTCTCTCTTTCCCAAACAAAAGGAAATGATATTAATTTGATTGACCGTTCTCAAATGCAAAATGATACCGAGAATGAAATCCGTCGCTCGCTTTTCCCATTCATTCACGGCTTACGAATTGTATAAATAAGTTTCGATTGATTACATCAATCAGATGCTGTAAAAATCTCTTTGGGTTGCGTTCGGGTCGATACCTAGTATTTCGGGGTAAGGGACAACGGTGGTAGTTATTACTTATTGAACAAGCTGAAGTTTATTGAATCTTCATTGCCGAGTACAGCTGCCTTTGGGTAGTTCTTCTTAATCTATTATAGCTGTAAATGAATGGGAAAAGCGAGCGACCGATTTCATTCTCGGTATCATTTTGCATTTGAGAACGGTCAATCAAATTAATATCATTTCCTTTTGTTTGGGAAAGAGAGACACTGGTAGCGGTCCACTCTACCCATGATTATGGGTTTTGGTAAAATATCATCTCTTTTTGATTATAATGTCAGGGTACTTTATAAAGTCGAAATATAAACTGATATCTTCATTAATAAGGAGGAAGTTTCAACGATTTCGAAATTTTTCCTTTAAAAACATTTCCTTGTGTTTAGGGAAGCATATCGGTCGATCACTGACTGAATATGCCACTTAATACTCATTCAAGTTGGCATTAAATTCATATATAATGACATTAAACTGTCGTGGCAAAGCAGAATTTGTTGGAAATCACGAATGAGCAAAATTCTCACCTTTCGCACGTGTAAACTTTGAGCGGACGTTGCGTGCGCATCCAATATTGAATCGCCGTAGATTTTTGCATGTAATTGTGTTATATATAGCTTGATAAGCATGCAAAGTTTCAAAGTATTTCAAGAAGAACTGTAATCACAACGGCACTCTAAAGTTGACAGAAAATGACGAAAACAGCAATTTTCAGTGATTTTAGCAATTTTCTTTCAATTTGGGCGTGTCCCCACGTGTGCAACTTTTCGATTTTTAACTTTAAAACTAGCCTAATGCACAATTTATACCTATAGGAAGCAGAACTGAGCTCCACAGCCCAAGGCATGGCCCAACACCAGAGAATACTAAATCGCAAAATTGACGTTTTTATAAAATAATTCTTCAAAAAAGCACAAACTTCAATGACGAATATCTTTATGAAGGAGCAAGCTAGAAAAACTTTCCGGTAGATTTTCAGAATGCTTGAACAATTATCTAAGATAAAAATTTCCTCAGATTTTGAATAAAATTACTCCTTAATGGTTTAAAATTAATTTTAAAAGTTATTACTTTATCAAAAATCAAGTTTTAAAAATGGTTAACTTGATGACGTCATCAAGGGGTGTTCATGACGTTAAATAATTTTTTTATACAATGTAAACTAAAGTGTAAACAATTATTTGCAAGACCTGTGGTCGGAAATGGCTGTATCTTTTATACTTTTGAATCTATGGACTTTTAAATACAGGCTACAATTGACTGGCAAAGCGTCTATCCCTGAATATATGTATGTATCACGACAATCTATCGTAAAACAGGGGTTCTAGAAAACCCATTTCCCGATGCTCCTGAAACCTGAAACTTTTTTTGCAGTCGATTTGGTTAACGTCTAGACGCCCTGAAAAATTTCAGATCTCTAACTCAATTTTAACATAGTTTTTAAGGCACCTGAATATGGCGATTTTGGGTTTTTTACCGAATTTCGTATAACAGTGCTGGCGAGTATTTTATGCAAATTTCTTAAAAATCTCAACATAACTATTTTTTATTCCTGTCATCTTTGACATCAAATTAGAATGTTTTGAACTAAAAATAAATCTGCTGAACGACTTCCGATGAGTCTTAATGCCTGGAAAACTCCTGCCGGAGGCGGCGGCCTTCGGCCGCCGCCTCCGGCCAGAATGCACGCTTCGCGTGCACAAAAGAGGCTCGTAACGTGTACCAAAGGGGGTATAATAGTAAAGGGGGTATAATAGTAAATGGGGTATAATAGTAAATGGGGAACATAGTATACCCACAATAAATGCAACGGTCGTGCTTGCCAGCACTGTGATTTCAATTTTAATGAAGTCATTTTGGCTAGTATTCCGAACCGAGATATTGTGTGCAATTTTCCCAATTTTGTTCATGGAGGTCTTTTTACTTAGTATCCACTATATTCAACAAACACTGAGTTATATCATTCACATAGAGTTAGTCTCATTAAAAAATATTGAAATTTTATCGAATTTGGGCAAAAGCGAATTTGGGCAAAAGCGTATGCCCAAATATGGGCATATTTTTTAAAGCTCATAGCTCAGCCAATTTTTGACCAATCTGGATGGAAATTCATGTACTAGTCCTAAAACAGGCTTATCTTGCGAATCTGAGTGAAAAATATAGTTCATCATGTAAATCTTAACGAAGAATATAAATCTTCTAATTGTAGGTATATTAAAGTATATTAAAATGTAGGATTTTTTTCCGACCCGGGGATATACTTTAATATACTTTAATATGGTTGCCCCCCCCCCCCCCCACCCCATTAACTTAATTCATTGGATATTAAAGGAGCTCATAATCATCAAATCAGTTAATTGGGAGTGAAAATGAAAACTACGACCTAAACTGATAAACTAATTAGATGGCTACTAATTAACTAATTAACTAATTAACAGAGACGTGCTGCACAAACTAGAAGGGCACAAGGACACTGTATACGATGTAATCTGTACTCCTACACGTATAGTCAGTGTTAGCGCTGACTGCTCTCTAAAGATCTGGAAGTTTGCAGCCCCCAACAACCCCTCAATCAGAAGGTACAGTAGTTAGGGGACGTTCTAACTAATTAACTAATTAACTAATTAACTAATTAACTAATTAACTAATTAGATCTGGAAGTTTGCAGCCCCCAACAACCCCTCGATCAGAAGGTACTACAGTACATAACCCCTCAATCTAACTAATTAACTACATAATTAACTAATCAACTAATTAACTAATTAGTTTGCAGCCCCCAACAACCCCTCGATCAGAAGGTACAGCTTTTAATTTGTTAAGGGGGGGGCCAATGGGTATTTTTTTGTGAAACTTGATTTCGAGATAGTAGTTGACCAACAAACTAGGACCAGTGACCGAACTTTTGAGGGGGTCCCGGACCCCAACCGCCAAACGGTGCGCGCAGGGCAGCCACGCCCATATTTGGTCCAAATTAGGCCCAATTTAGCCAAATACCCTGTACATGCCCCAAACCCAGGTTTATGGTGCTCTACTTGTAGCTAGTGGTCTCCTGAACTCGTATATGAAATTTCATCAAGATTGGACAAAAAATGACTGAGTTATGAGCCAAAAACCATATGCCCATATTTGGGCATACGCACCAAATTTGGTAGATTTCGTCCCATAAATTGGTCAAATATCAATATTTTTGGATGAGACTTACTTTATATGAAAGGTAAGCCTAAACTACATATTCTCTGTAATTTATAGCTTTATATCTGTTTAAATGTGGATACTAAGGCGAAAAAACCACAAAAAATGAACTAAATTGCCCATATCTCGGTTCGCGATATTCGCGGAATTGATCTCACCAAAATTGTAACAACTCAATCAGTTTTCAAAATTTTTGCATGAAATTTTTGGAATCGACTCGAAATCGCATTTCGACCTTATTTTAAGAACGGATTTTTGATTTAGGCCTCAAAAAAAATTTGGCGGCCAAATTCCAAAATTATATTACAGAAATTCAGAATTTGGCCGCCAAATTTTTTTTGAGGCCTAAATCAAAAATCCGTTCTTAAAATAAGGTCGAAATGCGATTTCGAGTCGATTTCAAAAATTTCATGCAAAAATTTTGAAAACTGATTGAGTTGTTACAATTTTGGTGAGATCAACTCCGCGAATATCGCGAACCGAGATATGGGCAATTTAGTTCATTTTTTGTGGTTTTTTCGCCTTAGTATCCACATTTAAACAGATATAAAGCTATAACTTACAGAGAATATGTAGTTTAGGCTTACCTTTCATATAAAGTAAGTCTCATCCAAAAATATTGATATTTGACCAATTTATGGGACGAAATCTACCAAATTTGGTGCGTATGCCCAAATATGGGCATATGGTTTTTGGCTCATAACTCAGTCATTTTTTGTCCAATCTTGATGAAATTTCATATACGAGTTCAGGAGACCACTAGCTACAAGTAGAGCACCATAAACCTGGGTTTTGGGCATGTTCAGGGTATTTGGCTAAATTGGGCCTAATTTGGACCAAATATGGGCGTGGCTGCCCTGCGCGCACCGTTTGGCGGTTGGGGTCCGGGACCCCCTCAAAAGTTCGGTCACTGGTCCTAGTTTGTTGGTCTGCAGCATATTCTAAATAATTATACTCCAGTAAATCTTATTCTAACTGTTTTAACAGAGATTCTAACTGCATAGTTGTTGTCCTGTACCATGGTAACTCGTACTTTTACAGGAAGGCGCTTATCTCCGGTGGGTTAGGACAGTTGTTCCTGTACGAATACCACTACGACGAGAATGTGCAGTACGAGAGCGAAGAGACGCAACTGTACAAGAAACATTTGTCCAGAAAACTGCGTCAGCGAACTAAAATAAGTGGTAGGTGGATTGTTACCTGGGGACCCCAGGCTATTATGTTCATAAACATATAAACGCCGAATAAAGATTGGGCGGAATGACAGGCTGAGTGCTGCCCAGTAAGGTGGATTGTCTTACTACATACTATAATTACTACGGTTTTAATATATTGCCGGGGTTGTTTTCCTACTGCATGTCAAACAAGCTATTAATAAAACAGTGACGATGGTGGAATTTTAGCTTAACTGTTTTTTATTTTAACACTAAATCTTGTCCTCCGCAGGCAGCTCAAACGGATCCAGAGACCTCCTCAGCTCGCTGAGTGACATGACTATGAGTTCAGCTTCTACAATCACTCCTGTAGAAATAGCTTCACACTGATCTAAACACTTCTACAATCACTCCTGTAGAAATAGCTTCACACTGATCTAAACACTTCTACAATCACTCCTGTAGAAATAGCTTCACACTGATCTAAACACTTCTACAATCACTCCTGTAGAAATAGCTTCACACTGATCTAAACACTTCTACAATCACTCCTGTAGAAATAGCTTCCCACTGATCTAAACACTTCTACAATCACTCCTGTAGAAATAGCTTCCCACTGATCTAAACACTTCTACAATCACTCCTGTAGAAATAGCTTCACACTGATCTAAACACTTCTACAATCACTCCTGTAGAAATAGCTTCACACTGATCTAAACTTCTAAACACTTCTACAATCACTGCAGATTTAGAGATAACAAGTTTTAGAGGAGCTTGAAAACTACACCTTCAGATACTGCTGCTCTATAATATTACGCTATATGAGATATATTTGAGGTGTAATTGTAAATAATGAATTTTGGAGATCTACGTCACTGATAAATTAACTCAAAATATTATTCAAATTATGATTGAAGTTACTTTTAAGAACGAATGCAATAGCAAGATAAGTTTTTTATTTGTATTTTAAGAGAATCACTATTAGAATTAATGTATGCATCTAGCCTGTCTAGCCGGAACATTACAAGTCTACACCACATGTAGTAAAACAAAATTTTTTAGTAAAACAAAATTTGTATTTACCACAAAACAATCAATACATATTTAATATTATTATACATTTACAAATAAATCTAAATTTAAATTCAGCTATAGACACAATACACAGCCCGCCGCGCAGACAGCCACACATTGCTGAGAGATTCTCAGGTGCAGATGTAAGCGCCGCGCGCGCGAGGTTTGTTATCTTACAATTACATGTCACGATATATTATTAATTATCAGAGAATTTTAGAAGCAAAATAATAATTGCATATTGGGAAAATTTCGGTCGTTAACGTAGTATAGGGCGTGGACACTGCAATGCTAATAACGGAAAATTTTGAGGCACGAGTTTCATTCAGCTACCCAATTTATATGTGACATGTACTTGTATTAAATTCAGATAAATGTCAGTAACAATCGACGCCAACATTGCGCAACTGTAAACTGCAAAATGTTAACGTCGATTATCACTAAATCACATCTCGCAAGTTACTAATTCTTTGCACTATATATGTTACGTCACTATAGCATATGTCATTCATATTGTACGTTATTGGTTATATAAGATAAAAATAAACATTTTATAATTGTTTCAATGTTCAACACTGCTAAAAAACAAATACCTACTTGCCCATCGATTAAGCAGTCGCCAAAACAAGGCTCAAAGTTAATTTACCTTCACACCTCGTTTTGGAGACTGAAGGATGTCAATAAATAGATAATGGATAACATTAATACTGAATATGATGGATAATCAGTAATATCAATAAAATCCACAATCACTAATCATGTTTTCGACGGGCAAGCACTCGCAACTGGATGCTGAAACAAACGGCGCAAGTCTTGCACCGTTCATGCAGCATACGTCGCGAGATATCATGAGCTCCGCTAACTCTGCGATTCTAACGGATGAATTAGGCTCCCCCGACAGAAACACAGGTAACAGGGGGTTGTGGAAGGACACGAACACTGTTCGTTAACTCGTACCCCGGGTACCCCCTATATAGATCTATGTCCCGCCGGAGACAGCCCACCACCAGTCATATCGAAAGCAGCTTTTAATTCTGCATTATAAATATCGCGTCGTCATGATAAATAATATACATTATCACTACACACTTGTCACTACACACTTTTATGCACAGTACAACTAAAATATTAACAAGAGACAGAAGAGTTTTACATCGGCTCAGCACCGCAAGGACGTTGGCTATACACGTGGTTCATAAATTAGTTTGATTTGGGTACGGTTCGACCGGGAAAGTGGTCGGGGTTAGTTCTCATAATGAGTAATCACTGTCGTCAGATATATTAGAGCGGGAACTCCCCCAGGTTCCGGACGAAACGCGCACAGTATTTAGAGTACAAGGATCTACAGCGTTAAATTTATGCTTTTATATGGTAAGAGCTAGCTGAGCGCGCGCAACTTTGTATACCTACTACGTATAGCATTTTATTGAAGCATAATTCTTCGCGTCTTCCATTTAAGACCACTTCGTTCACTCAACTTTGAAAAGCGCGGCAACATTGGGACATCGAATTGGGATTATATTTTCAGGAGAAAATTAATGAAGGAAGGCTCATCTAATTTGTTTGAAGTAAAGCATAGCAAGCTAGTTACCTGTCCCAAACCAAACAAATGCATTAGTTTATAAATTGAAGACCTTATCACTAATCACGTGATCACAAGGTAACATTACCGATAATCCTCAACGAACAACAGTCAAGAATACCAGTATCCAGTATCCAGATCACATAGTAATTCATGACCAGTAACTGTTCCTAGTTTTTAACAACTCTCTAACAGTGTAATATTATGGGAACAGTTGCCATGTGTGCATGTAACCACCGAGATAAAATCCAGTTAACCCACAAAAATTAAGTTTGTTGTCAGGTTATTGTATTAACAATCTCGCAATGGCACTGTTGCCATGACAACCGTATCGTAACTAGCATTACATACGATTTCTAACTAAAGTGTGGTTAATGTTACAGCAGGGGTTATCTGCAAAACACAACTGTTTTGTATTTTATTCAGCAGATAGGAAAATAAGCAATAAGCTTATGTAACATAATAATAGGTTACAAAGTTTTGTTCAGCAGCTTGAATAGGGCCTTTTAATCACAAATAAAAGGATAAATACATATTAAAGTAAATGTCATTACAATACATATAATTAGAATATAATTACATCGTGGTGGAAATAAGTTAAACTGGGACGAACTGTGAAATCATAATCATCTTGATAAAAGAGTTGTCAAATTGTCATAATTTATTGATCGTCATAAATATCTAACTGTTATTACAATGTTTCAGCCTAGTAGAAAAATAGTTTTTCAATAATGTTAATAAGTCAAATGATCAAAATACACCACAACATTCCGTCATAATGCTAAATAACAATAAGATTTCTTAGTTCAATTATAATTCTTAAATGCGCCATAGTTCAATTATAATTCTTAAATGCGCCATAATATAGTACAATGGGAACAATATATTATTACCGATGGGAGTCATAAAACTAACCAAAAATCAGCACTAACTTAGTAAAAATAAAGTTCACGGTCTAAGTGTTATCAGTTGTTTGCAAAAGCTCAGTAACATTACAATTAAAGTTTCCAAACATTTCACCCTCTATACCAGGCAGTGGATTAGAACCAAAATTCCCAGCAACAATATCATCGTTATTTGTAAACAATTGCGGAATAGATGTAAACGATTGCGGAGTAGATGTAAACGATTGCGGAGTAGATGTAAATCGTATGTCAGACAGAGGTTTACGGTGCCATGTAGGAGTTGAGATTTGTATTTGAGGTTCCAGAAACGAGGTATCCGGAGGTAAATGAGGTTGAGAGAGGAGGTCAGGAGGTTGAGAGAGGAGGTCAGGAGGTTGAGAGAGGAGGTCAGGTATTACCCTCTCAGGAGAGGGTAGATCAGGCTGAGAGGGAACATGTTGTATAATAGAATCTGGAGGGGCTTGCAGACCGGGGACATGTTGTATAATAGAATCTGGAGGGGCTTGCAGACCGGGGACATGTTGTATAATAGAATCTGGAGGGGCTTGCAGACCGGGGCTATCATCTGTGATGGATAAAGACAGCTCCAAATCAGAGAAGTTTGAAATGTCAAAGAAAAGTTTATGAGGTTGAGAAAGTGAGGGTTTGTTTGGGGTTATAGGTCCGAGAACAGCAGATCCTCCTGAGGGGAGACCACGTGACATATCACGTGACATATCACGTGATATGACACGTGACATAACACCACGTGTTAGTAGATCATGAGAGTGTAGCGGTGTGTCTGGGACCAGTACTAACGGGTCGGACCAGGAAAAGCTGGCACCCGGAGAGAAGCTCTCACTTGCTATCTCACTTGCTATCTCACCTGCTATCTCACTTGCTATCTCACCTGATACTATCCCGTTATCAGATATCTCCTTAACCGAGTCTCTGATAACTGATTCGACCAGTTCAGATGGAATGTTTGGTAGAGGAGCTGGTTTAGCGGGGCTCAATGTCACGTGGTCTGCCACGTGGTCTGCCACGTGGTCTGACACGTGCTCTGAGAAACTGGGGCTTAGTGACAAGTCAGAGAAATCAGAAATCACGTGTTGTTGAGCAGGAGTTTTGGGTGAGAAACCTCCACTTAAATCTGAAATGTCCTGTAATCTGGCGTCTAACTCGACACTTAGATCAAAACTTGTCTCGTTATCGTTACTCGTCAAATCTGCGTCTAACTGAACAATAATACCAGTTTCATTATTCTCTGAAGGTATAGATACGGAGGAGGCAAGTTCACCATTCAAAAAGCTATCCCTAAACCCAAAATCATCTTCCTTAAGCCCAACATTATCTTCACTCACTCCATCGTCGTCTTCATTATCCGAGCTTGAAATCTGAGTTTGCTGTTGACTATGTAGACTGGTGTTATCAATGCTTACATCAGCTTCTGAGAAATCTGATGATATGTTCACAACATCTAGTGGAAGGTGATCCTGGTAATTTATAGATGCTTCACGAGAAATATCACCATTTTCACGAGAGATATCACAATCTTCATTAGAGATATCACCACCTTCACGAGAAATATCACCACCTTCATGACAGATATCACCATCTTCACGAGAAATATCGCCCGCTTCATGAGAGATATCACCATCTTCACGAAAAATATCGCCCGCTTCATGAGAGATATCACCATCTTCACGAGAGATATCACCATCTTCACGAGAAATATCACCACCTTCATGAGAGATATCACCATCTTCACGAGAAATATCGCCCGCTTCATGAGAGATATCACCATCTTCACGAGAAATATCGCCCGCTTCATGAGAAATATCACCATCTTCACGAGAAATATCACCACCTTCATGAGAGATATCACCATCTTCACGAGAAATATCGCCCGCTTCGTGAGAGATATCACCATCTTCACGAGGGATATCACCATCTTCACGAGAGATATCACCATCTTCACGAGAAATATCACCATCTTCACGAGAGATATCACCATCTTCACGAGAGGTATCACCATCTTCACGAGAGATATCACCATCTTCACGAGAAATATCACAATCTTCACGAGAGGTATCACCATCTTCACGAGAGATATCACCATCTTCACGAGAAATATCACAATTTTCACGAGAGATATCACCATCTTCACATTCAGTTCGCGTAGACTGCTGGGAGAGATCCATCGTAGGTATTTCAACTTCAGCACCAGGTAAAGCAGAAACCTTCACACTCTCGCATCTATCAAGAGCAGCATGAGTAGTGTGTTCCCCACGTGGGTTAGTGTGTTCCCCACGTGGGTTAGTGTGTTCCCCACGTGGGGTTGCGAAGAACAGTTTGTGATAGTCGCCTCCCCCAATTAGCTCTCTGTAGTCCTCTGAGTCTACACTCTCAGTTGCTAGGAAGGAGTTTTCACGGGAAATGCTCTGATTATCAGGGTCCAGATTCAGGGATAAACCATTCTCCTGATGGCTCTGAGATATACCTGAGTTTTGAGATGAATTGTATAATATGTCTGAATTATGAGAAATATGAGAAATATGTGAGCTCTGAGATAATTCAGTTCTCTTGCTGGCCACACTGTCTCCATACTCCGCTTCTATGTCTTGTATGTCTGTTTTCTCGCGGGATATTCCCAATATGTCATCACGTGACAGGTCCAAATACTCGTTCATAAAGTTGAGGGGAAGCAACTGAACATCACTGTCAATATAACCGTCAGTTTCGGATCCAGACAAAGTGTTATCTTCACCGGGAGTGGTTATGAAAACAGTTTCTCTTTCACTTAGGTTATCAGTTTCTGTTTCGATTTGATATGGTTTATCATGTTTATGACGAACACCCTCACTGATTTCCGAAGTTTGTTTGCTGTCTAAAGAGGAAAGTGAGGACGTTGATCCAACTGCATTATCGGGACTTGATGAGGAGGAACCGGCAGCCTTGGCAGACTTGGCACGGCGCAGCGCTAATCTCTCGCTTAGCGGTATGTACTCATCTTCAGAACTAGACAACTCACTCTCTTTCTTATCATCTATCTTACCAGCTATCTTATTACCTTCAGAACTACTACTGATCGTAGAGGAAGAAACACTGGCAGTAATATCACCAAAGTTGACAGTTCCCGATATCTTGAGGGAACTAAGACTATCAGTTAAATTGTCTATTTTCTTCCCGCCCTTAGTTTTCTTCCCAGCTGTTCTGGGTCTAGTCTGAGCTGGGCTGGTTTTCTTGGTGGGATACCGCTCGTATATTGGAGGAACATTCTCCTTCTTCTTCCTGGTCACCTGTTTCTCTCTGGCACTAAACTCCTGCACTGCACTTGGTAGAAGATATTGAACAAACTCAGCGGTTAATTTAGCGTACACTACATCAAACTCCAGCCAGGACTTTAGCTTGTGGTCCAGAACTGAGTACTCCAACTCGTACATATCAACTTTATCCTTAATTCTCTTCTTCAGAATGTGGTTGAACTTCAAAGTGGCATGCTCTGTGGGCAGAGAAGTGTGTTCTCCACGTGCAGCGACACGGTCTCCACGTGCAGCCACGCGCTCTCCACGTGAAGTTGAGTCATCGACAACAGGATAAGGTTTAGAGAAAGTGATGTTTTGAGAGATGTGATGGAGTGCAGCTATGTGTGCAAACTTCTCTGCTGAGCCCTGTTTTCTCCATTGTAGTTTCTCCTGCATGTAGTTGACAAAGGAAGAGCACGGTGGGAGGCTCCAGCCAGGTGTTACTGTGTCGTTAGAACTGAGCAGGGATTATTATAATCACAAGGGTAAGAAACATTTACCATCATGGATATTTACCCGATATTCTCCTAATTGGATAACCTTTGGATTTATCACAAATTTCATAGGAAGAAAATGTAATTGTGTCTAACCTGGTATTACTGAACTCAGCAACTATCTCTTTAACGGGTATAACAGCCACAGTGTTCTGTCTAACGAACTTAACACAACACTGCATGTGAGGAGAGCTTAGTAAGCGCTGCGCGACGTGTTTGGTGCAGGAGCAGGGTGTGGTGTTTGGTGCGCATCCTGACGTGGAGTTGCAGCACGTGCACCCTGATCGTGTGTGCTCTTTTTTGCTACCTAAAGGGAGAATGGGGCTTTAAAGATATAATAGATGGGAATATTACGGTGTTGATTGAGTCCATTAATCAGTTATTTCATGATATGAGCTTCACTAATTTAACTCCCAAAGTCCTTAACTGGACCGCTAACAAATACCTATTTGATAACAGGGCACATTCCTTAACAGGGCACATTCCTTACCTTGATGTTTACAAATTCCGCAGTGAGGTTTCCTCTTGATGCCCTCCAACTGTTTATACTTGTCTCCTATAACTTGAGCCTGCTCGCTCCACCCAACTATCTCCTCTGTTACACTTCTCCCCCTGTCACGTGATAGTATGTAGTTCAGCACTGCCCCTCTCCCTAGTCCTGATATTCCCTGGTAATAGACACTTGGTTACCATGGTTACAGTACTAGTTGCCATGGTTACACTACTAGTTACACTACTAGTTACACTACTAGTTACACTACTAGTTACACTACTAGTTACACTACTAGTTACACTACTAGTTACACTACTAGTTACGCTACTAGTTACACTACTAATTACACTACTAGTTACACTACTAGTTACACTACTAGTTACACTACTAGTTACACTACTAGTTACAATACTAGTTACACTACTAGTTACCATGGTTACACTACTAGTCCTGATATTCCCTGGTAATAGACACTTGGTTATTGTTGCTCAGTTGACCGCGTTATATCAGGTATTATTAGAAATAAATTAAATTTTGGAATTTTTCCGAAACAACATCAACTATTTGTCAACTCAAAGCTTGTAAAAAGTCTCAATTAGTTATAATTTATATTATTAAGAATCACAAGTAAACTTACATCAGGGTTAAAATCACAACCGTTCAGTATCGCCATCCCCACTAGATCGTCACGTGACAAGCCTACCTCCGTCTCTACTCTGCTCATATTATACACTTCACAATGCGTCTCTGTAACCAGGAGATTCCGGTACACCTGAGTGAATTTGTTGGTTCATAATCTTTAATATTATTCTTAAAAATCTATCAAAATTCGTGTCTTATACCATCCTCAGTGACTTTGTAAGATGGCAATTCAAGAAAAATTCAGTCAAAACATCGAAATTTTGGTCGTGGAAGGTTGAAATTCGAATATGTCCTACCGGTAAGACATATTCAAAATTTTAATTGCATCAAAGTTTTCTCCGGATATACAGTTCCAGTACCTTGATGGCGACTTGTGTCACTCTCACCAACCTCACTGATTGGTCACTGGTAAAAATTTCAATCAAACTGTGAAAGTTTGGTCGACAGAAAAGCTCCTCTTCAAAAATCTTCCAAATCTCTTTTTATATTCTGATGATGATATATATTACTAATGGTAAAACCTTGATTTACCGAGCCCCAATTTACTGCAAACCCTGATTTACTGCAGCTTTTTCGTTTCTCCAAAACTCTGCGGTAAATCGGGGTATTATTATATTCAAAAATCAGACAAATCTAACCTGCCTAGCTCCATACAAGAAAGCATCACCGTCAGTAGTGATCACTCCATCTACTATTCCATCCATTTGCAGCTTCGCAGCAGCTGCCTCTGCTTCAAACGCTCCTGTTTTAAGATCGAATTAGTGTCTTATGGTTATACACTGAATAAGTTAGGGAGCTATACAGTAATTATCTTTTTATTCAATACTGATATTGTATTTTGCAATTCTTTACATTTGAGAACCTTTTGTTGCAGGCTCCTACCTTTTAGGCTTGCTCTAAAAACACACCTTTTAAGACAGTAAGTCCAAGAGACAGAGCCAACTCCTACCTTTTAGGCTTGCTCTAAAACACACCTTTTAAGACAGTAAGTCCAAGAGACAGAGCCAACTCCTACCTTTTAGGCTTGCTCTAAAAACACACCTTTTAAGACAGTAAGTCCAAGAGACAGAGCCAACTCCTACCTTTTAGGCTTGCTCTAAAAACACACCTTTTAAGACAGTAAGTCCAAGAGACAGAGCCAACTCCTACCTTTTAGGCTTGCTCTAAAAACACACCTTTTAAGACAGTAAGTCCAAGAGACAGAGCCAACGTTTCACATTCCTTCATAATCCTCATAAACCGTCTTCTTTGAATAACCTACATTCATCGTAGTTTGTATCATGTTAAATGGCATCGTATCAGATGTTTTAGCACATTGACTAATAACTTGATCGTTACTAAATAATATGATTTCCAAAAATTCAGAATCAGTTTAGATACTGTACTATGATAGAGCTACTACACAACTTTAGACACATTCTTCAAGTGTTGCAAAAATAGAGTTTAGAGTTAAAGGAATTGCAATTTGCAGACCTACCTTGTTGTTTCTGTCGAGTTCTAGACCAAGTCTTCTAGCGATGGTAAGAGCTTTAAGATGTGGAGCACGACCATCTGTTACAATGATAATACCTACCCCATGTTCCAACAAGTGATTTATCTGTGATGAGTGAGGTTAGAGATGGTTATTTTAAAAATGTAAAAAATCTTTTATTGGGTAGTTCAGTCTTTCTCGTAATAATTGCTAAACGCTAACTATCTTATTTACATTAACAAATTAACAACAGGTTTGATTCATGAATAGTTAAATATACTTTCCTAGTGCAGCTACTTTAGTGTAACACTTGTACCTTGTAGAACATTTGGCGAAGGTATATTCCCTGGTACTCATTGTTGGTCACTGTCTCAGACTGTACCACCCATATAGCCAAGTCAACAGCCAGCACTTTACCTCTGAGAGACAAAATAGAAACCTCTTCCTTGATGGGCTTCAAAGCCCTCCACAATCCTTTAACTCCCATTCATCAGAGCTGATCACTACTGGCTCAGCACATTTTCATTTACTGATTCACAGTCATTATCTGTTTATGTACAGTATACAAAGCTTGGTTCTATCTGTCTTGAAGTTCAATGTTTGCTCGTCATTGTAATTGCAGCCATTCTAGTCAAAAGAGTGTTTGAGTAATTTAAATAATTTGAGATATACACGAAATTGTGGTAGTTCATTTTTGTTACAGCATGACATACGTTTGCAGTACTGTAGCACCCTATTTCAAATATTTTGCTGGATTACATAAATATCCCATCAATATTTGCCAATTCAACAAACATGAACTCATCAAGTAATTCAGAACATATTAAAGAAGGTACTAGGGCCATTTACAATCTTTTACCCTCTCTAGGCCCTCTCCTATTCATTCTGTATATTAATGATTTGCCTGACCTTGTAAAAATAAGATTAAGTTATTTGCTGATGATCTTAAATTAATCGGTAATTTAACTGCCAAAGTGACACTAAAGTTATTGCTAATTCCTTTACAAAACTTAGCAAGTGCTATTACCTTACTCGGGAATATTATGACTGGGATAAAGTGGTGGGTTTTGGTAAATTCCGCCATATTATTCCCGGTCATTAATTTTCCCAGTCATAAATTAACCCGCTATAATGTTCCCGAGTAAGGTAAACTAATAGTAATACATTTTGATGCTTGGTGGGTTTTGGAAAATTCTGCCATATTTTTCCCGGTCATTAATTTTCCCAGTCATAAATTAACCCGCTATAATATTCCCGAGTAAGGTAACAATATCCTAATGGATCATGGAAATTGAAATGTTCAATTTTCTTTTCATAAATAATAATTATAATGCGAAGTTTTATTTACCCCAAGTTTGGAGAGTAAGTAGGTTAAACTGGGAATGCCCCTTCCCAGGGACCACATCACCCTAATAAACCATTGAATATCATGGGAGACCATGCACAGCCTTTTGTCTCTAAAAAAGGCTTAGAAAACTAGATTTATTTACCTCATTTTACCTCATTTTACCTCATTTTACCTCATTTTACAATTTTGCCTTTTTTGGCTGGCCGAATGAGGTAAAATGAGGTTAAGACCCCCCCCCTCATAAGTGAGGTTATATTATATATATATGAAAACATTGTTTTCGAATTCAGATTAACAACCAGGAAACAAACAAAACTTAATTATAGATATCAAGCATTCCGTCATGAAATAATAACGCGGATCAACTAATAAAGTATTTTGTGAGATTATGAAAATATTCACTTCAGCCCTCGATTTTCATACTATGTACTAAATCTGTAAAAATATGTGCGGCGCGCCTAAAATATTAGTTTCAGTTTCTAATCATTTCTTCGTTATATTTTATTAAATATGAAATACATTTAAATATATTTTGCAAACAACATTCCCAAAAAACTTTACTGGCTAGTGGTCTTACTAGAGGCTAGGTGATAGTTTTTCAAACGCCTGTTTGTCCAGGAAACCTTACTGTTAGGGGCCTAACTTCGGAAGTAAAAGAAATAGAAACGTCTGGTTTTCAACAAAATTTCCGTCTCGTAAAACTAAAGTTTCTTGTTCTCTGATTGGCTGAATCGTATCACGTGGTACGTGGTACAATTGCATTCTTGGAATAATTTAAGCGTGCAAATGCAATGAACAAACGAGCGCGCGCGGAGTTCAACAAGCTGTGAAAAAGCGATCACGGCCTTGTAGTAATATCGCTAGCCAGTAAAGTCTTCACATAGCCATGTGTATACGCGTACTGCGTGACGCGCTTGTTTCACAAGTTGAATATATTCAATCCTTTTCCACCTTCGGCGGTCGCGCGCTACTGCAAGCGAGATTACCTGGGGACCCCAGGCTATTTTGTTCATAAAGCCGAATAAAGATTCGGCGGAATGACAGGCTGAGCGCCGCCCAGTAACAAGCGAGAAGGCTCTTACCTGAGGACCCCAGGCTTTAATGTTGATAAATAGAGATTAGGCGGAATTATGACAGGCTGAGCGCGGCCCAGTAAGAGGGCTTTGGTTAAAGCAAAGTAAGGTCTGCTGGGCCGGGTATGGGATAGCCGAGAAGCTGCAAAGGGGGAGGGGGAGGGGGGTTGATGGTGAGTTATGCTTTGTCAAAGTGGATGCTTTTAAAATGAAAGCGAAAGTCTTTAAACTGCGCGTCGTATTGGTTTTATGTATAAGTATTGAGTCGTATGACTTGTGACGAAAGACCCAATTAAAGCTAGTACAAGCCAAACACAAGGATATCTCGTGTACAGATCATATGCACTTGTGCCTCCGGTTGTTAGACTATGGTCGCTATAATTAAGCTTTAAGTGACCGGTGAGCCAACACGGTCGCGCGCTACTGCAAGCGAGAGGGCTCTGGTTAGAGCAACTTCTTTCTTATTGGTAGTTGGCGTTCATGGTTCACGTGATCTTTTGCGCGGCTGTAATTGGTTCTGAACGATCACGTGAATGCGAGTCACTTACTGGGCCGCGCTCAGCCTGTCATTCTGCCGAATCTCTATTATGTATTATGTTTATGAACATAATAGCCTGAGGTCTCCAGGTAACGAGTCACGTGCGCTTTAACATCAAATGAACATTCGCACTTTTTTCAGGGCGTTGGAAATCGTAATTCACTCTACTCAGCCCGAATAAAGATTCGGCGGAATGACAGGCTTAGCTGTTAGCGCCGCCCAGTAAGCGTGTACCATGTTACAATTTGAATTAATCCATGGAGTCATGATAACTACATTAATTTGCAAAGTTATAAAGCTGCGACCTTTCATTTGGTTTAAAATCAGCTTGTCATTTTGCCGAATCTGGTTTTTATAGGGGTTGATTGACAACATGTCAATCCTTCGCATCTCGCCGCGATCGCGATATATTGGATGCGCGCGCGACCCAGTAGTGCATTGCGCTATTGTAGCGCGATGCGTTATATACTGTGCCGCGCCGAGCTGCCATGAATTGACATCGTCAATTAAATCGCGCTACAACTATGATTCTCTATGGACATAATTTTTATGAACATAATAGCCTGGCTTTTACTAATTCGCTCGCCCAAAAATTTCACGTGACTTTGGTTTTTTATGGTTTTGCAGCCGTACAAAACGGTTTTACATAAACCTTAATCCCAACCCTAACGGCCCTAACCATAACCCCGAAGCTAACCATAACCCTTACCACAACCCTAACCCTAACCATGAGCCCTAAACAATCGAATTCATGTTTTACTAGCCTGTCACGTGACCAAAACGGTTTTTTGCCCATAACTCTCCGTGGAAGCATTTTTACCCTATGTCATGTTGGGTGATTCGGAATCAGCGTCCTAAAATACACCGATTCAGATCAATTTCACACCCGAAGGGCCTTTTCACAAGAATTTGGAGGACTTCGCCGCTTCGACGCGCCGCGCAAACTAGCATTCTTGCTTCGCATCGTCGATCGTTGCTCTGCTTCGCAGAGCAACGATCTCGATGGGTTGACATCGTCAACCAACACAAGAATTTTCTTAAAATTTGGGCGAGCGATTTAGTAGGAGCGTAATAACCTGGAGTCCCCTAGTATAGGCGATAATTTTGCTTAAAACCATGGAAGTATAAGTATTTATTTCTTTTTATACTTTCAAAGTTAGGTCCCTGCCTATAACATTTCTTGGGCCGTTACCAACGCGCATTTTAAAGAATTTCAATTTTATTTAAATTACAAACTTTCACTATTGACTATTTGAAAAAACATAAATCGCCACCAATTAAGTCAAATTTTCATTTTAAAACACCAAAAGAAACTAACAAAAATTTGTCATAACATAAAAGGCCGGCTTTTTGATAGAATCTTAAAAGCTCGATCTTCACCTTTAAAATCGACTTTTAAAACTAACCAACGCGCATTTAAAAAATTTTCGATTTCATTTGGATTGTGGATATTGATAATGATTAATCATGCACTGTACATTTAATAATAATTGACAGTCACGTGACTTTTTTAACCCGCGCCATTCTCTAGCTGGCCCTAAACGAATTTTCGAAACCTTACCGGTACCCTCTTAATCTTTTATCTGATGCCAACCTAACCCTTTGTAGCCGATTGTTGGCTATTCTGCTACTACTTCTACCGTTCGTATTTCTCTGTCCGACGTTGGTTCGACAGAATTATGTTTGAGACACGAGTGTAGGAAAACGCATAACTTGTTGAAAATAATCAAACAACTCAATTTAATAACGAGACATACGGATAACAATATTACTATTACGGGAAACGATATCCAACGGTGGCTCTAAACCGGGCGAGCTCAGTGTGTCTGAGTCGTCATGTTTTGCTCTTATAATATATACTGACCTCCGAATTCCTGGAGCACAACGACAACGACCTTCGTAATTCCGTATTAAATTCCCCACGAGAATATAACATTAACAATAACACTACTTTATAGTTTATACATATCTCAATATCATTACAACTCACACTTCAACTCAATATCCGTATTAAATTCCCTACGAGAACATAACAATAACACTACTTTATACATATCTCAATATCAATGATATTATTATTATCATTACAACTCACACTTCAACTCTACTTGTGAAACAAGCGCGTCACGCAGTGCGCGTAGACACATGGCTATGTGAAATTACAACTCACACTTCAACTCCATATCCGTATTAAATTCCATACGAGAACATAACGATAACACTACTTTCAAAACTGTTTGTCTTCATCGCTTCATTTCTCAATACTTCACTTCTCACTTCGTCACTTTATCTCATCACTTCACTCTTCATCACTTCACTTCTCAATACTTCACTAATCACTTCTCAATACTTCACTAATCACTTCTCATCACTTCACTCTTCATCACTTCACTTCTCAATACTTCACTAATCACTTCTCAATACTTCACTAATCACTTTTCAATACTTCACTTCCATACTTCACTTCATTTCTCATTACTTCACTTCGTCACATCACTTCGTCAATCTGCATTTCACTCGTCATCACTTCACTTCTCAATGCTTCACTAATCACTTCGTCACTTCACTCTATCACTCTGCATTTCACTCTTCATCGCTTCACTTCTCATTTCGTCACTTCACCTCGTCACTTCACTCTTCACTTCACTTCTCATCTCTCATTATACAACACATCTCTCGTAATACATCTATGTGGTGATATGTGTCCATCAACATTTTAATCAGGTAGGCCTAGTCCTACTTTAACACTTATCAGTATCTCCTAGTAACTTAACAATCTTGTAAATTTTTCAACACAGTCACAAGCCAGACAGGTAACTTAATTACCATTTTAGGGAAAGTTGCTCTACCTTTGAATTGACACAAGCTTACTTTTACTTTTTCCTCGATACCTGGTCAAGCTTTTTATCAGTACCAACCTTTATGATAACTCTAAATAGGAATGAAGGATAGAAACACAACGCTAGGGGATTGCTACTCTGCAATAATCTGTACGTGCCTCATTGTGGCCCCAGCCGAGAAGCTGATGTCAATTAGCTGGTTTCCATGTGTGTTCTAGTTTTAAAGTGATAATATTCCAGCGTAGATAAGCTGATATCTTGTTATTATCACATTTCACATTAGAACGCACCCGAGAAGGCCGACTCTATGATGCTGATTAGACCAATAAACTGGTTATTCCAATTACTCAATTATAACTAAATATAACACCGGGGTTATCACACTGTATCTCGACACGCACGGAATTTTAGAACCAGTTATTTTTCCGAGCCAATTTAGTCGAGTATGGTTCTCCTAGCGGTGGCCCATAATTAACATTTGCGAGAGGAGATCCGAAGTAAAAGCTGACCAACTCTTTGACGCTGGTTATACTTGTTCCACCGGTTATACCAATTTCACTTGTTAAACCGGCGATACCTGTTATACACACATGGGCCAGCTAATGATTTACATGATAAACCTGCTAGCGCATGTGTATCATTATTTTTTTTTATACACTTGCGCTTCCATAATAGAGCAAAGACTCTAGTCGCTTCTTGATCTGATAAATTTTAATCGAGTTAGGATATCCTCCCTTTGGCCTGCCAGCCACATCTTTGCCTAATAATGATTTACTTTACGTCTATTTTGTAGCATTATTATGTCGGTAGATTCACCCTGACATCCATACCGACTCTCACCAGTCCAACTAACTGCCACTGCAGATGTCAGGTCTATAATCTAAATTTAAGCAAGTAAACCCGTGCATGACAGTAGTAGTGGGTAGGTAGTGCACCTCGTCGTAATGACAGGATAACAGACTCCTACTCCTAGTATTAGTATTAGAACCGTTGTGATATAAATTAAAGACCATTCTTAGAGCTTCTCCGTGAATTGCATCCTCCTGAGAACTATAGGGTTGTCGTCAGACCTTAAATCGACTGGTAAGTCGGCTTGTGTCCTTTCTGAAGAAAATAAATTCAATAAGGGTAAATAATTTTAACAGGTATATATTCATTTCACTGTTCGCAAAAATAAATTTAAGATAAATTATGATTCATAGCAGGATGACAAAGCGTGATGTGTTTGGGGACGGCCAGGAGTTCGTTCTAACCAGTAAGTTCTTTGTTTACTTTGAAAGAACCAAAGATCACCCGACTACGGTCCGATAATTCCTCGACGTTATTTTTGTACTTCTATACTTTATTTTATAGTTAATGAAATGTACTTGATAAAAAGTTTAAAATATGAATTCCAATAATTTTCAATATCGTAGCTCTATATTACATATTATATTGAGAACATTCTTAATTTTAGATTGTGGGACCGATCGAGAAACCTCTAAAAAGGAAATGGGAGCAACAAGAAAAGTAGTGGTACTGATGCTTTTGATGCTTTGCTGTATGTCCTTCAGTATTTGCTCCTCCATCAGGTACGGATTCCTAACAGACGCCTTCACAAGAAGGGGTGTCCCAGGGTCAGTATACGGGCCCATGGAGACCAGCTGCTTCCTGGGTTTCATTCTCATGTACTGCTCAGGAATTACTGAAGCCATCATGAGGAGAACCAACAACAGGAACATTTTTATGATTTTCTTGGTGCCCTTGGCCCTGAGTTCGCTCGCAACTGGATTTGTTTATTATATTCCTAACACCACTGTGATGATCTCAGTTTCCTTTTGCTTGAGGATCTGCCAAGGTGCTCTTTTCTATTCCAACTCCATATACCCCGTGGATTTCGCTCATGCCCATTTTGAAGATATATTCGATTTTGTGAATGGTCTGACAATGATTGGCAACTTCGGGGGTCATGGAATCGCGGAGTGCATTGGATGTATCATTTATGAAAACTACGGCTACCTAGCCCCATTCATATTGTCATCCGTCATAACTCTCGTAGTTTGTTCAGTTGCTTTCTTTGTCATCCCCAAGTCGAAGGCTTATCTGGCAACTCAAGAGGAGACTCCAGACCAGCATACCGGAACATTCTATCCTTCTGAAGCTAAGTCTAACCGCTCACGACTATCCAAACTGCTCGCTATCCCGATGATAGCGACTATGCTTATCAATGTCAACTACGGAGTTTTTCAGGTCAACACAGTACTTGTTTCTTAATTAAATATGGGATAGAGGTGGTCTTATTGCTTTATGGGGGGGGTCTTTTGGGGTGTTCTTATGGAGGGGGGAGGGGCGGGGGTCTTATGGGGGGGGGGGGGGGGGGGGGCTTATGGGGTGGTCTTATGGATTACTTATTGCGTTAATTACGTTTACTCTTCCCCATCCCCTCCGTAATCAGTTTTACACATAGATATTGTATTGAAATTACACCAGCGCAATCGTTTGGACCACCCGCCCCCCCCCCCCTCCCCTCAGTAATTACGTAATATAAGCACGATCACCCCTCGTGAACATGTTTTCCAAGTTCACCCCTCCTACACTACCCCACCCCTCACACTCCACATAACACCACCTTCCTACTCCACCCCTCCTACCCCACCCCCCCCCTCCCCTCAGTAATTACGTAATATAAGCACGATCACCCCTCGTGAACATGTTTTCCAAGTTCACCCCTCCTACACTACCCCACCCCTCACACTCCACATAACACCACCCCTCATGAACACTCCACATAACACCACCCCTCATGAACACTCCACATAACACCACCCCTCATGAACACTCCACATAACACCACCCCTATACTGCAGGTAGCTGTGACTCCATTCCTTCACGAGAACTTCAACAAGTCCTTATCATACGGAGGCACAGTACTAATAATGTTATGTGTTGGAATGGTTATCGGTAGTCTCGCAGCTGGGGTGCTACTCCAGAAGAAGATCCTAAACCACTACACTATTATGTTGTGTGGAGCCCTGCTTATCGGTGCTGGACTTATGCTTGCGTTCCCTCCTGAGTTTTTAACATCTGTTTATAACTTAGCCCCGATTTTAGCATTTCCAGGGGTGCTTTTGGCGGGAATTGGCGATCCGCTTATGACAATCGCTACTCTTCGAGCTCTCTACAATCTGCAGGTTTACAGATTTAGAAACGTGATTTTTTATTCCTTGCTGCAGTCTTCCCACCTGTTCACATTTAAAATTTCAATTCAATTAAAACACTGCCCATATTAGGTAATCTGACACGTGATGCCCATATTAGGAAGCGAGAATCGGCAAGATGTCCCCAGAAGTAGTGACGAGAATAACGCATTGTGGCTGGTGGGGTATGAGGCTAGTTACTACAATGGACCCTTCCTCGCAGGAGTACTTAATGACCATTTTACATACACACGTAAGTCACAATGGCCATTTTACATACCCACGTATTAAGTCACAATGACCATTTTATACTAGCATTTGACAAAAATTGATCGTAATACTAATGTCTAATAGTATAGTTTGATCAGGATCAAGGAATGCAAATCTTAATTTCTTCATTTTCAGATTCAGCTGTAATGCTTGCGGGACTGTCTATTCTGTCAGCACTAATAGCTATTGGGATGCGGGTCATTACCTTTGACAAGGAATCTGATGACCCTGAAAAGACACTTTTGATATCAGCAGAATACTAGACCAAGTCTAACGTTGCATGAACGTGTTGGTCGAATTAATGACTGAGTGCAGGTCTCCCAATCATTAATTATTAATCGTATAGTTGTAATGTTTGTCGTAATATAAGGGATCCCTACAAAAAGTGCAAATAAGACTGGTGTCAAATGTTGATGTGAACTCTGGTGGGGATATTTAGTGAAAGTGATTCAGGGGTTTGATTTAAATAGTCGAAGCTGATTGGTCAATTTCTGATTTGATACATCATGATCCAATTTATTGTTATTGGAAAGTTTAGTCTGCCGCTCAGCTGTGTTATTTTCGTGTCATTTTTTTTGTATCATTATTTTTGTATTATGATTTAGTATCTAAAATTTTTACCAAAACCCCAAATAAAAGGAAATGCTGTCAATTTGAATTACTGCAACGCAAATGATACCGAGATATGCGAAAATGGAATTGGTCGCTCGCTTTTCCCATCCAATGACGGCTTTGCTACACTGCTACACTGCTACAGGTCTTATCATTAAGCAAAAAATCAGCTGCTCACAAAAAACCAGCTGCCCACTGCTTGCTCGGCTTATTATATAATATATAATATATATATATTTCAGGTCCGTGATCCGGCTATGCTTATTATATATTTCCATATAATCCCGCTAACTCGCCATTACGTCTGAGGCACTTGTTGAGCGATAAAGTGGTTTCCGTGTCGCTCACGTTTTCATTAGCGTGGCTGCTGGCTACGAACCGTTAAGAGAGCGGGGTACATCATTAGCTGCGATCTTAGCATTTCCTGGGGTCCTTCTGGTGGGAATCGGGGACCAGTTAATGACAAACGCTACAGTTCGAGCACTGGATAATCTTCAGTTCTACCTGTTAATTACATCCTACTGTTACTTGCTCTTCCTGAACAGAAAGCTATTAAGCGTCAGAGGAACGAGCAATATAATAGCATTAGCAAGCTAAGTAAATCCTATTGGCTCTCACGAAGGCACGTGACTTATAAGCACCGGAAGGTATGTCTGGCTGAAAAGTCTCCTGTGAGGGTTCTTATTGTGCCTGCTCGCTTCCCCTTTGCCATTATTCCCATATTTGTTCACAAGTAGTTCACCTATAACTCCTACAGCATTTTCCGGATTGAGTTGAGGAGTCTCAACGTTATTTACTGGTTTGAGATCTACTGTGATGGGTGCGTGCTCAATGCTCATCTTCAATTGTAGTGATCATGTAGTGTGATTGATATGATTGGTTTTTATGCTTTTGTTCGTTGATCTGACTCTATCTTGTTTGATAGTCAAAAAGTATAATAAGTCAAAAAGTATAATAACTGATCACTAATAAATATAATTGACAATTGTTAATAACCTACAGGAATTCAGCAAAAATAAGGACCTATATTATATTCTCCGTAAACTGTAAGTTAATATTCCCTCGTATCAGATGTAAAAACGAGACGGAGGATGCAAGTGCAAAAAGTCTTCAGGGATCGAAAGAGGAAGAAGTCCTGATTCTAATTCTACTTACTCGTTATCTGGTCGTGAAGAATTGAATTCTAGAGGGGTGAAAAGATTGTGGCCCCACACCCTTGCTTGCTATAATTCTCTTAAAACTATGAGAGAACTGATTGTTGAGGACTTGTCCCCCTATATGGGCATGTCGAAGTCGTGCTGCTTCAACAACTGCAACACCCCGATCGTGGAGGAACTTCCCCCAATGGACTTGTGGATCCCGAGGGGGTTAGTTCATGGAACGAGAGACCGTGTTGTTTTAGAAATTGTGATACTCTCATTGTGGAGAAACTGCCCTCGATGGATATATGGATCCCGATGGGGCTGGTGCACGGGAGTAGAGATCGGGGGTCTGGCGTACTGCATGTACCATTACATGAGTGCAGTGCGTCAGTACAGCAGGTTCAGGGACACGAGAGCCTGGTATAGTTGGTTTCGTTCTTTTTTCTGATAGTCTTGATTTCATTTTTGGATCATTTAGGATGTTAATGACGTGGATATTTAAGCAGTTTTTTAATTTCCTTTATTTTCAGGGTTTCGAACGTGGTCGTGACGGCTTTATGGTGAAGGTGTGCAAGGGGCAAGACGCCGTGGCTGGTATAATAGCTGGTCGAATTCAGTTCCATGAGCAATGTTTAAGGCCGGCTATAACGGGAACCGGTCATATGTTCCATGCACAGCGGTTGTATGGAGCAATCATACGGCAGATTGCGCTTTGTCGGGGAAACCACTGGATGCTCGTCAGTAAGGCAATTCGAGATTTCGGCAAACAGACTGTTCGCCGAACTGGGTGACTGGCTGTTTCCCGGTCCAGCTTCCCAGTTATGCTTGAATTGCAAGCATAATCCCAATATCCATCTTATCGAACGTAGTCAGTGCAAGCTACCTCTGTGCCATTATTGTGTACTTAGGATACACGTTCGAGGTTAGATCTTTATGTGTGTTACAGTTTTGATAGATGAATTTTTCTGGTATGTTGCGTTTCGTTCTTTTTTCTGATAGTCTTGATTTCATATTTGGATCATTTAGGCTGTTAATGACGTGGATATTTAAGCAGTTTTTTAATTTCCTTTATTTTCAGGGTTTCGAACGTGGTCGTGACGGCTTTATGGTGAAGGTGTGCAAGGGGCAAGACGCTGTGGCTGGTATAGCTGGTCGAATTCAGTTCCAGCAATGTAACCGGCTGTGGCCGGCTATAACGGGAACCGGTCATATGTTCCATGCACAGCGGTTGTATGGAGCTATCATACGGCAGATTGCGCTTTGCCGGGGAAACCACTGGCTGCTCGTCAGTAAGGCAATTCGAGATTTCGGCAAACAGGAGTTCGCCGAACTGGGTGACTGGCTGTTTCCCGGTCCAGCTTCCCAGTTATGCTTGAATTGCAAGCATAATCCCAAATTTCCGCTGGTCGAGAGACACCTTTGCCATTATGTAAGGTAGCGTTCGTGCCCGCCCCTTTCACACCTGCACCCTGACTACGCTTACGGCCTCGAGCGCCTAATGATTCTACCCTGCTATTTGATTCAACAAGACACATATTCCCCGAGTCGGCGACCAACTCACAAGGCACTCAGACTGGTTCCTCCCCCTCTAATTCTGCCCCTACACCCCGGAAGCGTAAACCCCGATTTCTTTTTAGTCAATATTGCCTCAAAGACTACAGCCAGATGCTCCTTTTACTAAAAAATTTTATCATCTTGTCGACACCCAGTGCAAAGGCCGCATTTTATCAGACTCATTTTGTTTGCTCCTACTCCATCAGCTCGAGTGTATTAACCCCCGTATGGTTGACGTGGAATGTGTTCGGGAGAAGGTTCGTCGCCGTCTACGTTCCCTGAGTCGGTTGAAACGACTGCCTACTAACATCAGTAGTAACGTGAACACTGGTACTACCGTTTTCACCTACCCCAGTGTTTCTCCATTAGTTTTCCGTAATGGAAACTTAGCGACTCCTCCCCCTGGTGATGACAACGCTATTGCTTTGTGCTGAAAATTCGATTATGCTGTCAGGACTCATGCCCCTGAATCAGAAGCTGAGGCGGCTCAGAACCTCGCCCAACAGTTGAGGACGATAATGGCCGGGGCCTCCGCTGGGTGCCCATGGTACGTTTATTAGTTCTGTGTTTTGTTCTATTCTGATTTTCCTTAGTCGTTCCATTTATCTTATCTTAGTATGAGTTGTAATCGCATGTCTATTTTAAGGGGTACTATGGTGGACGTCTTGACCGCCATCCAAACCTGGGCCCACACGTGGGATTGGGACGTCGACGTCTGTGTCGAAAGGGAGCTGGTTCGGCTAAGGATTTTGAGGCCCCTTGGGTGTTCGTGCCACACAGCTGAGGATGCCCCCCATGTATGTATCTACGGTGATGCAGGTGATGATCTTAATATGTTTTTTCTTATTGTTGGCCACTTTGTATTATTAACTGGGTTGATCACTTTTATGCTGACCGCTGTATTTCACACGTTAGTTATTCAAAAAAAAATGTATCGGGCCAATTCTCGAAGTTAAGCAGCCAGTATACCAATACATGAGCAGGGCCAGGAGATGTTATGTATCTATAGGATAGACTTAGAGTCAATGAGGTAATTAGCTAGCTGTTTTTATGCTGAGGTTATACTTATAGGAAAGCAATTGTAAAATAGTATAACAGATTTCGTTAAAAGTCTCATCAAAACAGATATGGGCGTATTCTGTTTTTGTTGATGCCAACCAACCAAGTCATTTTGTTTTTAGTTAATGTTATAAGAGTGTCGTTAAAAATTGGGAATTTCACGGTTTTAAAATACTTAGTATATATAGTTGCAGCAACAAGTTTAATATCCAGAGGCTCGGAAATTAGATATTTTTCAAGAGCTCTCTGAAATTGTTGCCTTAACTTATAATGATCACATCTCCCAATCTTTCATATTATGACGATGACATGACGCGGACGATGACCAATTCAGGCAGATTTGTAATCTTAATTATTTTCAGGGGTCAGACGTGGCACTTCCTCAATAAATGGGTACAAAGCAAAGCAACGACTCTAATATTGCGAATCATTACGCCGAATTTGATGCTAATGATAGAATATAATCCATACATCAAAATTCATGTTCCAGAAACTATCTCGGAAATACCTCGTTCAGAAACCATTAGCCTACCTCGAACATCATAATAAAAGATTCTTCAAACGACTGTTACAAAACAGTGTAATATGCAAAAAAGCTCCTAAAAGAAAAAATGTCATCCTGGAAATTTATATTGAACTATCGTGCCTATATAATACTAATAGTTACGAACATTTGCCAAGTGAACTTATGACTTACATTGATTACAAATTTATCTTCAATAAGAACAAAGCACTAAAATGGTTTAATCAAGATTAACCACAAATTTGAATCACCAACCAACGCTCTATTTGAAACCTTCAAGGTTTCGTTCAAAATTGAAAAACGTACGTAAAATATTGGAAAATATATATTAAATTGATTTATGTGTGAATTTATAAGTGGTCACATACTTGCTTTTATGCACACATCCAGAATTTTTATTAGCATTTAAATTATTATATTTGATTTTATTTCCACTTCGTGATATTGTAACGCGGTTAAATTTTAAAATTGTATTTTCATACTTTTATTCGGCTTTTGTTTTATATCTGATCGTATTTATGAATTGATGTATAGCCAAAACGAGTTCGTTAGTGTTCACTGTTCTCCTTGGTAATTTCATGTTTAATTCCTGTTTAATTCATACAATTGTAACGAGAAACAAATTTTGTTAAAACCAATTATGAATACAATGCGGAAAGAAGTTTCAATTACCGATGTTTCTAGTTATTATTGATTGTGACAAACTATATAAAAATATTTATTCTTGTGTTTTAAGAGAA